GGTCTACTGTATCAAAAGCTTTGGACAGGTCAAGAAAAAGACAGGCACAGTACTGCTTATTATCAAGGCTACTGTAAATGTGATTCAGAGAGTCTAATGCAGCAGATGTGGTGCTGTATTTTTTTCGGAACCAAGATTGTTTTAGATGTAGTAGATTGTTGGTGGACAGGAAACTGCTAATTTGGTAGTTCAATAATTTTTCAAAAATTTTCATCAACGGGGACAAAATTGAGATAGGTCGGTAGTTATTTGGATCATCTTTAGGGCCCACTTTGTGAAGTGGATGGACATAGGAAGTTTGATTTAAAGCTTTCGTGACTGCAGGGATTCATATTCTTGGTTCTTTCGGTAAAGTCACCACGTAGAAGGGAAACAATATTTTCATTATTTCATTGTTTCCCTTCTACGTGACTATACCAAAAGAACCAAGGACATAGGAATGTTTACATTCTAGAGGAACTGATGCTTCTTTGATGGAGAGGTTGAAAATATGGGCTATAGGTTTGTATATTAGGTGACCAACAGTTATTAGAGCAAAGACGGCAATACTATCTGCTCCGGTAGAGGAGGATAAGGGCTCTGAGGAAGAGTGATTTTTGAGAAGAGTGTATTGGCATTTAGCCGGTAAAACCCACAGCTAAATGCCAAGACACTCTTCTCAGCACCGTGCAACAAGAAGTTTGAGTAGAGGCCACTGAAAAATGCGGTTTACAGCACTGCTTCTTAGCATTCTCATGTGTGCCTTTGTCATGGTGATTTAATATTTGCTTTGATGTCCACCACACCAGATGGATTTTGCCTTCTGCAAAAAAAATTACAGTCGGTCATTTTTGAGTAATGCTTTTGACTTCTTGCTATGACGACTCGTGGTATTCCAGCGAGTTCCAATTGGATTCGTATTACAGGAGTGGATGCACGATTAATCAGCTTTAGACACTGTTCTTTGGTGTGTGCTATTATGTTAATTGGAAACATTTATAACCACCAAGTTAAAAAAAACGTTATTTTCCAAAAAAAACACAATCTTGCATTCACTGTGCAGCAGGTCGCAGCCTTCATTACTTAAGACGGCAAAAGTTTCGTCTGTCATCTTAATTTCTCATACCCACAAATTGTACCACGTGGCATGATGAACTTCTGCCGCTTTAAAACGTTGATAGCGGCATTCAGATTCGTGGCACACCTGGATTCCGGTATTCAGGTGCACGACACCAAAATACTGGGATAGCAAACAAAAAGTTAACTGCTTCAGTTTCCGATTCAGCGGGGAACTTGTCCCAGTGAGAGTCAATGGTTGCTGTTTGTTTCTGGGGCACTCTTCCACAGCCCACACCAGCATGTCACTGTGGCCTACATTTCTGTATAGAGGTAAACGGTGCAGCCCTGAAATGTTTTGCTCACGCCACTGCTGATAAAAGGGCTTCCACGAGAGAGAGAGAGCACCCGAGAGCTATCTTTAGTGGGAGCTTTTGTGGGGGCCGACGTCTGCCGGGCGGTGGGGCGGACGTTTGCCCCCTCCACTCCCTCCTCCACTCCCTCCTCCACCATGTCAATCGGCTCCCGCCGGGTCCCCACCGACCGGGCGATCGGTCCCCGCACGCTGGCGCTCTCTCTGAGGGACGTGGCTGCAGCGCTGGCTCACCACCACACGGGGTTACTCCGCACACGCCCACGTACACCACCACTAATACGAAGGCGGCTGCGTGCACGCGCGCGCCCCTGCAGGCGCTTGTTCTACACAAAGGCTCGCGCTAAAGCGGCTGTATGAATATGCGCGCCAGCGGGTGGTCGTTCGCTACCCCCGCGACCCGCCCTGATACTCGCGCGGCACGGCTGCACGGACGCGCGAGTGTCAGCGGCCGTTTATGTTGTAATACATGCGCGCCTCACACACATGCTCAAATTACCAACACCACGCCGAGGTTCCACCCACACACACACAAATCACACTGCGCCGATGCTCTGTACTAAAGTTTATTAATGGCGCAAATACACACTACCTCGGGGGAATATTTTGCGAGAAGAGCTTAGCCTAACTCTGCCTACAAACCCAGTCACTCAAACGTCCTACCACGTACCTCGAAGCTGTACTCACGGCGTCGCACGGACGCTGTAAGAGTCGGAGGGAGAAGGACGAGAGAGAACGTTACTTATCACTGCCTCGTAGCAGCACTCGCTGGCATCACACGGAGCTGCGAGAGGCTCGAGGATGCAGGACGGCAGGGAGTGGGTGGTGACGGCCCGGAGGTTGAAGACAACTGATCAAAATCGTCCTGGGCCACTCTTTTTATCCCTTAAACTTCAAAAGCCCAGGGTGACGTGGCCCCGCACGGCCAATCGTACGCTTACCTCTGGTTACCGCCCACCTGTTACCGTGTACTGTGTTGTCACCCACCCATTGTCCCTCGTTGCCCATTGTCTGGAAGGGCGTCCGGCTTACGTTTTTCTTGCTTAATATACCACCCTCCGTCCTCCCCCCAATGTCGTCAGTAACTCATCGCGGTCGGCCCAGTGAACCTTTCCTTTCTGCGCCCGTACAAGTTTAAGCCAATTTTAGGGGCACCGCAATGTAACCTGTCCTATGAGGGGGGTCGGCCAATCTCCTGGCACCGGGGAAACCATGGGACTTCCCTTCTAGGGGCCCTTCGGATTAAAACCCGACGTGCCAGGCAATCCCTCGCCAGGACACTACCAAGTGTATGCGCTGCGTGCAGGTTGTGTGTTTAGTGCAGGGGCCGGGAGGGAATCGCGGCGCTTGCGGAGTTACTCTGCAGTCGTGTCACCACACTCTCGGCAGCTCCCCGGGGGGTTCATTTCAGCCTGCTCGTCCATGCTGGCCTAACATTTTGGAAGAGGTGGCGCTACCCACACTTTACCCCTTTACAAGCCACCTGCCAATTGAAACATTGTGGTGGTCCCATTTATACTATGTACTAGGTGGAAAGAAAAGAAGTAGAGTAACAACATTTTTAAAAAAGTTTTACTTTGGGTTACCATAGCCCAGCAGTTCTGAAGCCATGCGGTTTGAAAGCCTTTCAGCCTGTGGCATGGATACCGTGCAGGAAAATGTATGAATGTGTGTATGAGGAATGCCAGTGGCACGATGCAGCAACACAGACTAACACGCAACATAAACCAAATGATTTAAAGCTTTCGTCACTGCAGGGATTCATGTTCTTGGTTCTTTCGGTAAAGTCACGTAGAAGGGAAACAATAAAATAAATATATATGTAAAACAATAAAATTCTCACGACGTTTCGAATGCAAGACAAGCAATCATCATCATCATCAGGTGTGATGATTGCAGTCGAAACGTCGTGAGAATTTTATTGTTTTATATTTTTTTTACTATTTATTGTTTCCCTTCTACGTGACTTTACCGAAAGAACCAAGAATATAAACCAAATGCTTACATTGACTCTTGTCCTTCCCCTGCACATTTTATTAGGACGGTTGTTTGCGTACGGTGCGAAAGAAGTTCAACGTACATGAGATTTATGTTGGAATGTGGTTCCTGTTGGTCTAGGGTGGGGGAAACCAAGGGTGGGGTGGGGGGGGGGCAGTGTTCTTGAGTGTGGGGGGGGGGTCACCAAAAATGTTAAGAGCCACTGGCTTAGGCTATCCCAAGCCAGTGCTTCTGTCCTTTGGACACACTGGCACCTGCCTTAGAAACGTGGAATATATACCCCTGGCTCCGGGCTGTTGGCCAGAAGCACTACGGGCAAGTGGAACACGTGGGTGTTCCACATGACCGAGTGTGCACTTGCTGATGATGCGCAAACAAGCCCTCATTGTTTCGTGCCAAAAGAACATCAAGGAGCATCCCTCCGAAATAGAATGTAAGGCAACTAAATTAAAACGCAACACGTCTGTTAACAGAAATGCAATGGGACATTCATGCCAACTATTTCCCTTCCCTGCTCGGATTTTTCTCGACCAATCTGAAAATATTTTTTGCCATAAACATTTCGCAAATAGGAACAACATGGACATAAAGTGCTACTGTATAGCCAAAACGGGTCAGTGTCAAACTTATTAGAAGGCCTTGAGTTCAAATCCCCGATCAGAGGTCAATTGACGCGTTCTCCACCTGCCCTGGCGTTTCCCAGGATTATCCTCTTTTTGAGATCGTGCTGCTGAGAAATACATTTTTAAAAATCCAAACTTTTGTAAATTACATAATAATACATCACTTCCAACTACGCATTTAATGTAATTCTTCCCTCTTGAGATACAGGTCGTTTCCCTCGCTTTATGTGGCAGATGCATTCCAATAAAAGGGTGCACGTAGCGACACAGCACAAGACAGCTGCCTGCTGAGTAGCGCATACAGCACACACACACAATGTTCTCCCACGTCCGATCGCATTGCCGCATATGAGTGAATTTAAATCGCACATAGCGATTTTTTGGCAGAAAATAGCTTTGCCGCATATACACGAAACCGCGCGAACCGAACCCACGCAAAGCGAGGGAAACCTGTATTCTTCTTCTTCTTCTTCCCATTTCCTTCCTGGGTTATTTGGTACCTCAGATGTGGCAACCCTATCAATCACCATGGGAGGTGCAAAGTCAAAGGTCAGAGTGAGTTCCTGCTTTAATGAGAATTGAGGCGGTGCTCATCTCCTGTTCACAGTCCTGAGCCAGTGGTCAACATTTCACATTCCTACTGCGGGGAGAGGATCTCTCCAAACGACACCACTCTTGACTCCCCCACAGTGGATACGCATTGTACCGATCCCGGAGGGTTCATGAGGCTGTGTCAACCCACAAACTGCACCTCCGATTAGCACGGTTGGCTGTGCACGGTGCAAAAGAAGTTCAACGTACAACCTGGATTTGAACTCGCAATTTTCTGATCACGTGCCCCTGACACACGTGGCTTGTTTGACGTTGTGGTAAAACGTTGTGGCGCCTACGAGTATAAATTGTTCACACGAACCCACTGTATACAACACGTTAAAGGTGATATATTGCAAATAATGCACATGCAGACAAAATTCGGTTTATTATAAAGTGGGCATTTATTATTTCAGACATTTCATACATTATTCATAAAAACACTAATATTGGCGGTACAAACTATCTTTCAGGCCACAGAACAAGTTTGGCAGCTTTCAACAATGCAGTAAAAAATACCGTATGATTTCTTCAATGAACCATATATGTGAAATGATTACTGTACTGGGTGCATCCTGATTGTTTTCTGTTTTTTTAACTGAAAGCACGCGCAATGTGCGCGTTCTTGTTTTCCATTTAAATCTCACTTCTCAGAAATAGTCGTGAGCGTTCTTGTTGAAAATGGGATGTTTTCATATGTACAAATCAAAGATTTACCCATTGATGTTCTCGTGTAAACAGGTTTCAAATTAACAATGGACGAATTGGGTAAAACAAGGATACATTTGATAATGTGATTTGTGTGGAATGTACTTTTTCCATCTGCTAACATTTTTCGGGGGAAATATATTTAATGAAAACATTTCAGTGGGGAATTTAACTGACTACATGATCCAATTAATTATTTCACATAAGCATAGTAGCCTTTAAAAGTTGGTGAAATGCCAATATATTTTTCCTACTGAAATACTTATTCAATCCAACCTTGGTGAGGTCACCTCCATTACTCATCACCCTCAATACTCACCACCTCCCTGCTCCTGTTCAGCTGATTTCCCTTATAAGTTATGACTTTTATGTGCCTCCATATTTCTCTTTTAATGGCCATAAAGTTAACGCCATCCAGAATAAGCGACAAACTAATTTGGGGGGGGGGGGGGGGGTGAACATGGCATCCAAACATGACATGTAAAAAGACCCGACAGATTCACATTAAAATATGGAAATCGGTGATCGGGAAAGAATCGTCGCTAACAGAGCTCATCGGTCATTTTCTCTTGAAACAAACCCCCCCCCCGATGGTTCAGCCCCCTGGGCTGTGTGGTTCGTCCCACACCCGATCAGAATGAATGGGTAATTTAAGAAATAAATACTTATTTACAATCATACAGATTTCCTTTTTCATTCCTGAAGCAGCACAATACTACCAACTGGAGAGTCGTCAGAATCATACACAATTGACATTGACATGAAAATAAATAATTTAATTCATACATAACAAAACGTTATCTACAGTGGACTCAATCTTTCAGTTCTGAAACCTGAATATGATTCCCAGGTGAGCTGGATGTTTTGTGTAAAAAAAATTTTGCTAAGAAATTTGCCGCACATTGCTGGTTACAGTCAACTCTTTGGACACGCATTGGTCTTGCAAACTTGACAAAATGTCAACGTAACAAAAAATGCAAGTATAAAATGATTTCTTAAATAGTCCGTATATGTATTTTTTTCCATTAATTTCAAGCGTATAAAGATAACATTGCAAGTTTGACATAACATCTTATATTTCTACTCTACAGTTATCAAAATGCAACAACATCCATTATTAACACCTCAAGCATCCAACATCTTAAGCATTTCACCGAGGTACTGTATACTTTGGAAGTTTAATCAACAGATGGCATCAGTCATACATTGAGAATAATGTGTAACAATTGCTTGATCTTCTTGGTTCTTTCGGTAAAGTCATGTAGAAGGGAAACAATCAAATAATAAAAATATAAAACAATAAAATATTGTTTCATATCATTATCTATTATTTTATTGTTTCCCTTCTACGTGACTTTACCGAAAGAACCAAGAATATGAATCCCTGCAGTCATGAAAGCTTTAAATCAAAAATTGCTTAATCACCACTGCTATATGTTAGAGGGGAGTCCACTGCCGTATCTGAAGTTGAAATATTAAGTTGCTGTGTTGAGTCCCCTATAACATCGTTACATTTCTTGCACTTTAGCTTTGCTTCGGATGAAGCTGTGTCACTTGGAATGAGTGATTCCTGGTGAGTTCTACATTTGTGTGAAGGTATACAAAAGTATAACCCAAACGTTACATTGAATACACCCTCCATTAATGTGTGGTTATGTTTCAGCCAATCACTCGCTGAATATTGATCGAAGCGTTTGTAAGGTAGCTTTGGGGAAAATATCTGGTACAATGGCTGGTACCTTTGTCTCGTTCGGGTTTTCATCTAAGAATCTGTAAACAGAGGGGAATAGAGTGCATTGTCACCGGCGTGGAAATATTAAACGTTGACGTGCAATATTTGTAGTTCATTTTCAAAATGGTGTAAAAAATTAACTCATAGAAGCCTCACCTTTGCAGCCGTACTTCAGGTCTGAAAAGTAAATCATCTCCTGGGAGAACACAAAGAGCCCGAGCCGACCACCCGCAAACGTCTTGTCATAGATGGGTCCCGAGTCAGCCAACACCTGCTTTCCCTCGTGCATCACAACCCTGCAATAAAAGCAGATGAGAACGGCGCAGGTTATGAAATCGACCGTGAGCCACTTTGCGAACGAACAAACTCAGAAGGAATGATGTAGTTTGTGTAACGCAGTGGTCTGGATATTGCATTTTAGGGGTGAGTCATGACGCACGTTGCGACGCCTCCGGTTGTTTCGTCCACTCGGACGTTTGGCTGGACAATGCGGCATTTGTAACGACGTGGAAAAAGAAAAAATATAGCGTCTGCAGTGGTCTGGGGCACAAGGCACTCGAGGTGTTGTGTTACCGTCGGCAGAATTTTTTTTTTACATTTTCACCGCAGTCCATAGCAATTTCTTCAAATGAAACAGTCCGATGAAAAGTGCCGTGTCATTTATATTTCATTGTAGCTGCCTCAGATGCAGTTTTATTATATCCGTCTCTCATTTATAAATCACTCGTCTCTGAACAAATTACGCCAGTTATGAGTACACTGGTAGCGGCCAGTGGAAAGTTTCTTACATTCCAAGAGAGTTTTCCTGCACCGTGTCACTTCACTTCAACTCTCGCCTGCAGTGTGCCCATTTGCCCTCTGCTATCTGCTTTAGGCGACTGCTGCTTCACCACAGGCACAGGGCCATACTTACCGAGGGCTGCAACCCCCCGGGGCCTCGGATTTTAAGCCCCCCCAACACTGCCTTACCCCCAAAATATTTGCTGCTTTGTAATTGTTGAAACACAATCCTGGAGCACGGCCATATAGGTAATGTTGTTTTTAAATAACAGCATCGTGCCAATGATTTTTAGTATGCCTGACACAATTTTCTGGCTTCCACCACCTCAAAGTAAATCTGTTGTTATTCTAAAACAACATCAGGCATACGACGAAGAAGACTGCAAGTTACATGCAGAAATTAAAATAGTTTTGTTAGCTTTAACGTTGACATAGCTTTACAATTTGGACAGTACATTCAAAAGCAAGTACTGAAGTAACCAAGGTAAATAACAGTGCTTGACAATAGACATTGGAGGTGGTAATGTACTGTATGTTGAACTTCTTTCGCACCGTGCATAGCCAACCGTGCTAATCGGAGGTGTGGGGGAAGGGAAACACACTAAACATAAAAAACTGTTCTAATGAAATTCGTTTTCAATCGAGATGATGTACAAGTGGATAGCTCCAGTGGCTTCCTAATGTCGGAAGGAAGAGCGTTCCAAACGGCCGGAGAAGCGCATTTGGCAAGCGTGCGATGCAGTGACCGTCTTCGTTCGATGGTTAGCCAAAAGCCGCTGTGAGGATGATCGGAGTTCACGTGATGATGCATGTTCCTTGACGAGATCAGCGAGGTATTGTGGTTCATTTGTGGCAAGCACTTTGTGTGTAATGAGTGCGTTTGCAGTGAGTGGTAAAACAGTTAAGAGAGGGCCCAAAATCAAAGAACAGCCTCGGGCCCCCATCAAACTGAACTGAACCCCGGCACCCAGAGACTGGTTGTGTGGGTTACATGACCCAACAACGCAGCACACACCCTCTCACACACTCGGTGCCTCGGCTGCGGCAGTTACTGTCACCGTAAAAGCTGCTGCGTAAGAAAGTTAATGAAGAACGCATTCCCAAAAAATAGGGAGCAATAAACATGACTGCGACCGCAAGAACGAAGGCAGGGATTTTAATAAAAACACGCTCGGACACGCTTAGCAGGACTGATGCGAGCTGGAACACCTGGGCACCTGAGCTGCATCTCTGTTTCGTTGTGTGTTAAATTCACATTGCATTTTTCCCACACTTTCTCCGTCATGCTTTTAACCCACATTTTATATCGAAGTGCACGGACTTCGGCTCAGACTGCAATTAACCAGATGCCTTCTGAAGCGAAAGCTTCACGAGCGATGTGAGTGAGTACCTGATAAAGCCAGTCTTGGGTCTGTGGACAAGATGCCACCTGTAGGCTGTGAAGTCTTTCCAGCCGATCACCTTAGGGTCGTGCCACAGAGTGCGCACCTACAGCAGCAGCAGCAGCACGCCATGTTAGCATTGCGCATCAAACACCGACCACTAGTTTTCACTCGGAAGATTTCCATAAAACATGTTCTCATTTAGATATGTTCTAAGGCTATTTTAGGGAGAGTGCGGAACGCCAAACATTGGTGGCGAGTGACATGAACGGGTCCTGCCTTCCAACTCGCAATGATTGGCATGGCCTTGGGAAGTTTGTTATAGGAATGGAATTGTAAAATCTTAGTCCAATGTATAGAGAACATTTTTTTTACATGACAGACACGGAGCGGTCTGCGCAAAGATTACGTTACCTAAACTAACGCAATAAACAGAAGTAATTTTTAATGATAACAAACCGGGACGTTTTGTACATTTGTATTCATGAATTGGGAAAATCGTATCCACGTTTCTTCAATGTTATTGTGTGGTTACCAGTGTCTGAGTGTGCGTCACCGAACATAGGCGACAGTTTAGAAATTATTTGTGAAAATGCTTGTGATACAAAGAGGTCTTACTGTTTTAAACACATCGGACATTTAATTCCAACTATTTTACATTTGCCCAGCTAAATTCCAGAGCGGTGCATTTTGGTGTGAGGTGGTGTACTGCAGCAAGATGTGGCTGTATGTGATGTGACAGCTCTTAGCTAAAAGGAATGCATTTTCATGCTGATAGTAAGTGTTCGTGTGTAAGTGATATTTATTGAACAGTAAGTGTATGTGTGTAAGTGATATTTATGGGATAGTAAATGTACGTGTCGCACCTCTGATTAGCACGGTTGGCTACGTACGGTGTGAAAGAAGTTCAACATGTGTGCATACATGTGTGCAGGTGACGTTAATTGGATTGGAGTTAAAAGTGCACGATGGTATGAGCTGGAATGTGTGATGGGGTAGTTTGAAAATACAGCGTGTTCGTGAAGGAATCATCTTTCTATTAACTCGTTAAAAGTCGCACAGCAGTTTAAGCTGGGTCGATAAAACTACCATCCCTCTAGACCTCCACGTCTCCGCGCACAGGGGTGGCGACGAGGGCCCTCGCGAAATTTGAGATGTTCGCTGACACTCTACCTGTTGTTATGTGTGGCCAAAGGCCCGAAGACCGCTCAAGCTTTTAGGTTTAAAAAAAATAAGCAGCAAAAGTTGTAATCTCACCGTTCAAAACGCTCTCTGCAGTTCCTTAATAATGATACCTCTTTGAACGCCCTGTACAATACATGGATTTTATACAGTGCATTCATGTATTTCACTCCAGGCTAAGCAACATTTGGTTGTATCAGAGTCATGTTGTGGCTTTTGTAATATTTTCTCACTCACCCATCCTCGCACCCTCTGCTTAAGTAGAAAATTACCCCCGCCCCCCAAACGAATACACTCTCTTACAGGGAGAGTCACTAGCCCAGAGGACACAACCTCGCAGACTGCACCCCTTCGAATGTACTCTCTCCTGCAACAAACGGGCGTCCAATCAAATCCAATTAAAATAAAAAAAGAGACTTGCGTCGTTGCGAGGTTTTCGGCTGTACCCATCGCGGCGTTACCTGTCCAGGGGTGTCCCCCGTGTGCCAGAGCGCGTTGCGAAGGTTCTCGCTCGGTCCCGTGGACGAGTTGACGACCTTGATCTGCAGGCCGGCGTAGCCGTGCGCCACCGTCGGCTTGTTCTGCCAGTACGTCTGCGTCACCTGTTTCCACATGACGACGTAGAAGCGGCCGCTCGACTGGTAGCCGAACACGAAGCCCGCGTAGTCGTCGTCGAGCTCGGTGTTCACAAATAAAGTGCCGCTGAAGTCTACGCCGTTGAACTCGTCGTACCCTGGAGGGGGGGGGGGGGGGGCAACGGTAAGGCTTTGTTCACCACAAAGTACGTTTGGAACTTCGAGGTAAAGGCGCAGCCCCGCGGTCGTCTGCGCACGCCACTGCTGGTGGAAGAGTCTCTACCGGAAGGAGCCCTGGAGAGCCCCAATTCCCCTTCCACGCTGGCCAGTTGTCTTGGACGAGGTAGGAGTACCCATACTTCACCTCTCCGCATAAACACGACCTGCCGTCCAACTGTGATGTGCCCATGCATATTGCCAGCAGATCCAACCAGTGACCTCTGGATTGCGAGTTCAGATTGCGCATCCTGGCTATAAGTTCACAAATTCACGAAAGATATAAGTTCGTATCTTTAAAAAAAAGTTTACTAACTAAATAGGCAATATCATTAGAAATATATTTTTTCATAATTACGACACGAATAAAAGTTTTTGAATGGTTGATGCAGCACGGATGACGTAAACAACGCGGCAAAGATCAACAAGAGACTTATTTATAATCTTAGCTCTTTTGGTAAAGCCACGTTGAAGGGAAACAATAAAATAATAAAATATATATAAAACAATAAAAATTCTCACGACGTTTCGACCATAACACAAACGGTCGTCGTTTCTTGCCGTTGGTTTTTCACACCTGATGACGACCGTTTGTGTTATGGTCGAAACGTCGTGAGAATTTTTTATTGTTTTATATATATTTTTATTATTTTATTGTTTCCCTTCAACGTGACTTTACCAAAAGAGCTAAGAATATGAATTACTGCAGTCACCAAAGCTTTAAAACAAGAGACCTGTTTCTTACTCCGAGGTGCGATATTGGGGAATGAATGAAGGCGATCGTGATCAACTCACCGATGGCCATCCCTGGGTCGCTGTTGACCGTCTGCACGAGCTCCTTGCCCTGGTGGCGCACCGCCCAGTTCGGGTCGATCTGAGCTGTGCCCTTGGGGTCGAGAGGAACCACCTGGAACTTTCGCAGGTCTGTCTGGAAAATAGCCGCATTCTCGGGGCAGTTGTCCTCAATGTCCGGTATTCCGTCGTTGTCAAAGTCATATTTGCAGGCGTCGCCTCGCCCATCACCTGTAAATGAACATACAGCAAATACCATTACAACACCGCTGCATAGCTTCAAACGAACCCCAACACGGAGGGGTACATGGTACGCGTTGTTCATGAAGAAGAGGTGGTTAATCCTGCGGATTTTATCTCTCTCGTACATCTTTATGAGCAATAAATGTTAAACAAATTCCTTTTTTGTGACTTCATGGAACAAAGCGGGATCTCCTGCTTTGGAGCGCTGTTAGCGTCGTATCGTACATCACGCACGGCGTTTTACGGCAGGTAATGATTCGATAAATCATGGGAGACTCATCGCGTGTTGCCCGATTTCTAGCAGGCAGAGATGGCTCTTTCTCCCCCCCCCCCTGTGTGTGTGTGTGTGTCTGCTCGCACTCTACACCAGTGTTCATTTCGTGAACAAAATTAGGGTAGGAACATATTTGGCAATGGGTTTTTCTTTTAGTCAAAGTCAGCGATGACTATGATTGGATGCCAGTTAAAAGGGTAAAACCTATTACTATATCTTGTTACTGGCAAAGGAGGTCTCATAATGGATGAAAATCATCAAGCGTAATGATCACGACGGCTTCCCACCAAAGCGTGCAGTTTAACGAGTGTGGATGAAGATGCAAAGTAAGATAATCTAGTAACGTTATTGAGAGACCGCAGTGCATTTAGAAAGACCATAAAAGGTGTTTGTCTCTATGTTTATATAAAAAAGATTGAGTTAGTTCACCGATTGGCTGAGCTGATTGTATTGAGAGGAGGGGAACTTGCACAACTCTTCACACCAACATTTACTAGCGGAGAACGGGCTACATTCTTGACTGCTTTCGTCTACTGCACTAATACAACGACTACATAACACTCTCAGGGTAAGATCTGACGAAAACATGCGCAGGTTGTTGTTGACCAGACTTGGACTATGACTGAAATATGAAATGCTGACTAATTTATCACTGCTCTGCACCACACGCAGTACGGGGAGGATGTCACCAGCGAGCCCCGGGACTCCCTAAGGTCCATAACATCACCGACAGGAGAGAGCTCTCCGCTATTATTACAACGATTTGTATTAATTTTATATTTATTGAGATTAAACTTGGGAGCCTGATCTCCATTAAAGTTATATCATCCATAAACTTGATTCATTTTGAATATCTCTTATGAAGATGAATGCCACGGAATGAAAAGGCATGGCATATTCGACATCAGTTATGAGAGTCCTAATGCTGTGTGTGGTCAGTGTGCAGCCCAGGGTATCTTGTAAAAGACCTTCAGGGTACAAGCACTCTTTTTATGAGTACAGTACTTTATTATTTTGACAGGTACACATTTCATCAAAAATTTAAATGCAATTGTTTGCAGATTTGCATAGCCGAGTGGTAGACAGGGAATTACTAAGCACTTCTGATGTGAGGGAATTAACTTAAAATATATAGCAAGGAGCATGTAGCCTGTCGCCTGTAATTATGTGCGTTTTATGTCCACTACAAGTATGTGCGAGTACTTGTTTACACGCACAAGTGTGCTTGTGTGTGTGTCTGTGTCACTGTGGGAGGCAGTGGTGCAGTGGCTAGTGCCCTGCGCTACAAACCCAGCTAGCTGCTTTCGATTCCCGATCATCAGTGACAATATCTGAACCGGTCCTGGGCCTCCACTAGGTTATCTCTACCTTAAATAAGTACCTGGTATGATGTGTAAACATCGGAACGGGGGAGGCAAAGGTTGCCTGACGTGCTGCTGGCAAAGCCATCCCCTTCGCGCAATGTGCCGGCCTTCATAGGTACTCGCTAATAGCACTTGCCCCAACAGCCAAGTAAGCCTATATGGGGGATCTTTGTCTTTGTGTGTCTACGTGCGTGTTGTACCATCAGAGTCGAGTTGGTCAGGGTTTGGCACGAGTCGACAGTTGTCCTTGTCGTCGGGAATTCCATCGTTGTCATCATCCCAGTCACAAGCGTCACCTTTGCCATCTTTGTCATGGTCAGCCTGATTCGAGTTTGGTACATAGGGGCAGTTGTCCAAATTGTTCTGATGGCCATCCTCATCAATGTCCTGATTGTTATCACACTTATCTCCAATGAGGTCAGAGTCTGTGTCCATCTATAAAAAAAAAACAGAAAAATGAAGCACGCAGAAGTGTTATCCGTGAACAATATTGCGCCAGTGCTAGGGCCAACTATCCAGTTGTCCCATGCACCATTGTAATGTGCTGCAGGCACAAAGCTGGCCTATAAACACATTAAATCATCTGCCACTTCCCTGCTACATTTGCGCAGAAGACAGGAGCAAAATATTAATCTATAATACAGGTTTCTGTGGGTTAGATCATGGAGATATAAATGTGTCGTTAAACCCGCCACCACCCGGCACAGACAATTAGTAAGGTTTGTCATGTAAACAGAACATGTCAATTCGTTTCTAGTACATTGAAAAGTAAATCCACAACATTTACAATCCGAGAAAAACGTTTCGCCAGTAATTACAACTAGCATCAGCAATCGGCATGTTCTGTTCATGTGACAAACCTTATTAATTAGCTGTGTCGGGGTGGTGGCGGGTTTAACGACACATTTATATATTTACACGATCTAACCCAAAAAAACCTGCATTATGGAAAAGCATCAGCAAAATTAATCATTGGGATTAACATTTTTTTTATGGTGCGCCTCAAAATTCATTACAAAAACACATAGGGAACAACTAAACATTTTCAGGGTAAGCATTCGAGGGAAAAAAATATCGACAGCAAGCTGTGAAACATATGATGGAGAGAAGTGTGAAAGCAACCTTTGCATAGTGAGGTGCACTGCCAGTTGACATTCACCGTGAAAGGGCGAGTTTTTACTGTGATTTGTGACATTATGTGAATACGGTACTGTGCAATACGAACAAAATGGGATGAAAGTGTCAGGAATTCGTAATGCATATAATTAACTAACCCAGTGCCTATGTTCATAACATGACAGTTGATCAGTTTACCCCCCCCCCCCCCATTATAATGACAAGGCCTACCAGAGGCCAAGAGATCTCATGAGGCACGTAGGGGGAAGAACCCTCACCTGCTCTGGGTTGTGCTCCAGCGGACAATTGTCGCACATGTCGCCAACGCCATCCTTGTCCGTGTCCTTCTGGTCCACGTTATAAATATAAGGACAGTTGTCTTGTTCATTTAGAATACCTGGGCAACGAAGACAAAAAGTTAATGCCCTCGGGTGTTATTGTTTACTTCACCTTGACATTAAGCATCGATCAAAACAGCCACCGCATGAATGCATTCTGTTATTTGATATCCAACTGTAGCACGATTTCCATGTTGTTGAAATGCATGCATGATGGCCCATTCCTTTTTTTTTAGCAAATCTCATTCTCGTGAATTACATGTTTGTCTCTGTCAGACATTGTTGGTGCTGTGGGTGAAAGCAGGTACTTATTGCCTGTAAACACAAATGACAGTTTTAAAAGTGGGTTAATTGATAAACTTGAATAAACATTCAGATATCATCCAGGAGTGGATTGAAAAAGGGCTGCATCTCCATCGTCAGTATTGCCCATCGGCCATCATCCCTCTATGTGATTTACGGGGAAGGATAAAATCCAAATTACAGAAATACAATACATGTAATAAAGCAGAAAAACTATCAGTGTATAATGCCCTTCGTGATAAAGTAGTGGTGCAGTGGTTATCAGACGGCATTATGAGTTGATTTCCCTGCAAAAGCAAACATCAATGGCCAGTGATATCAGAACCGGTCCGCGTATCCCCCCCCCAACTGAACATCAACTCACACTCCCCAGCATGGCACGTTATGGGGAGCCCTTTGTCCAGTGCCGGATTTGACAAAGGGCTGTAATGTTTTGTTGTATTAATGAACTTGCTTATTATTTTGCATTGGTATAGGCGCCTTTCAATTGGCAAAGAACCTGACCTATGACGACCTAACTGTACAAGATGTGTGGTTGTGATCGGTGGCAAATTACAACGGTGGGCTTGAGGTCAATCTGCCAAAAATCCGAGGCATGGGAGCCTTGATAAAATAAACACTTGACCGGTCTCAGTGCTGCTTAAACGATGGGCAACCTCCATAGCATTAAAAAGGGAAAAAAGAGGGTTTTTTTTTTTTAATTACGTGTGTATATGAATAGACAAGCTCAAATCAGGCGACTACTTATCTCTACTGGTGGCCCTAGAAAGCATCAGACTTTTCACATTTCTATGGCAGGGTTCAGTTCTTCCACATGAAGACCATTGTTTGCTTGCCACAAAGTGGGTACAATTTACTGGCCGCAGACGGTTGACGGACGGGCTGCGATAACCCCCGACTCGCAATTGACCTCAACATTCCGATTCTGAGCTGCCGCGCTCCAATTGCAGGGCTTGCCGACATCATGTTTATTTTTTTGTTAGAGGTGACTTAATAACTTGGAGAGACTTGTGTGAGAAGTATTTACTGTGAGTGGGATTGGTTCCAGCTGTACGAGAGCAGAAATGGGGGTAAAAGGGACGGAGGGCAAATTACAATGAAACAAAAAGGATCTCAGTACACTCCAGTTTATTTTACCAAATTCAGCTGGCTGTGGTTTGCTTAATCCTGTACTTTAGTTGCATTGTGTTTATTCGTCACACGGATCGCGTCACCGCATGAATATGTGACCTTGCGCTAACCCCTAATAATAGAGCCATGCTTAAATTTAAGTTTCGTTACGATCACTCTGTTAAACGGCTTTGCAGCAGTAACCTGTGCAAAAGGAAAGTTTTGGTATAAATGACACAATACTATTTGCATAACTGAAAAAAGGAAATACAAATATCATTACATTGTGCTCTTCTGACACCGCAGGCACCAACTAATTTGAATAATCTCCATGCATGGGAATATCATCATCTAAATCAAATGTGTGTGGCCAAGGATAAAATATCCAAAACCTTTAATGCAGCCAAAAGAGAAATATTAGGCTATTACTGCATTATGCGGGGCGGGGGGAGGGGGGGCTGAACCCCTAAAAATATCTTTGCAACCCAAACAACCGTGTAAATATTGAGCAGCACAGACCAATTGCTGACCTTTAAACAAATGAAGACGGAAAAACAGTTAGGAGAATATTTTACGTGCACTCTGAACGATGAGTGCACTTCACGTTGCCTGTGATGTGGATGCAAGACGATGTATCCTGGATGTGGACATTGCTAGATTTTCGCCGGCGCAAAAGCGAGACGTAGTGAGTGATGCTTGCTGTCAGTCGCCGGTATACAGCGCACATGTGGATGCTGTCAGACGCAGTATCAAACGTTGTTGCCAGACATTTAAAAAAAAACGACTGGTAAAAAATATAATGTGTCCATGGATAACAAGTCACGCAAATAATTAATTAAGATGACCAAACTGTCCAAAGTAATATGACTTATGGCTGGGATATGTTTCAGACTTACAATCAGCTACAAAAAACCCTGTAAAACTGGGAAGCAATACGTTTTTTGGAGCACTGCACAAGCCACTATCTGGAATTGTAATTTGTTAGAAATTCTGATTATTATTATTATAGCCAAATGAAAAATACATGATGTTAACAAAATAAAAATATACGGTTGTTGGAAAAGCACAGTCATTTCTATTGTTCAACAAAAGGAGCTGTGAGTTCTTGTTGGGTCACGGTAGTTGTGCAATGAATCCACGGTGTTATTCGAGATCTCCTCAAGGAGTTTTGAGCTGTGGTTTAGACTTTCAAAGTGAAGAATGCCTTCCCGGAAAGGTCATGTGCACGTGTGGACAACATGACGTTATCGCGCCGTGCACAACATGCCAACTGCTCCGATCGACTCGGCTTCGTTTTGAGAAAACGTCTCGGTCAGGAGGGGAAAAGCACAAACACGCAACTGTTTTGGGAAGGCCCGCAACTCCAGGAAGGTGTGCAAGCGTTTGCTTACTTCCCTCATGCGTGCGCTTGCACGGTGTTTTAATAAACGAAAATTGACCGCATGAAGCCTTTCGAGTTATCTGGATGTTTTAAGGCTGTGGTTATGAATTAAAGACAGACCGTGTGATCTGAGTAATCCCGTTATTCTGAGTATAACAGGATATACACACACATATATAACAGGAGCAGGGATTTATTGTATGGTGGTGAATTGGAAATTACTCTCCAAGGTAAAAACGCGCGTGTGTGTGTGTGTGTGTGCACGCATCAGCCAGTCGTCTCAGTCAGTCGACCCGTGGCATCTGGGTCTGCCCCGTGACCTCCTGCCAGCGGGCGTTCGACACTTCACGTGGCCTCAAGGTGCACATAGCCTGGCACAAGCGTCGTGGTGACGTCACCGCCACTTAGTGGCGAATGGCGGTTGTTGTTGTTGCACGCATTCAATGGAGTGGTTGTACGCGTGGTACTCTCTCTCGGCTTGTAGCCATAAAGTTGGATCGTTCTTATGCTTAACAGTTAATTTAAGATGATAGTTTAAAAAATCCAATGATTTCCAAAGCCTTGAAAGACCGAGGATTGTCGTATCAATAAATTGACGGTATAAAATGATCAATTTATGTTAACATTAAGAGCAGTTGAGTGCTAATTGAGAGATAACTTCATAACGTTATCCACAAATTGTGGATTCTTTTTTACAGGTCACACCAGTGCAGGGGCGGTCCGTCCATATAGGATAGGCGAACAAGGCGGTCGCCTAGGCTCCAAGTTAAGTGGGGCGCCAAATTCGAGGAAAAAATAAAAAAACGAAAATGTCATGATTTCAATTCCCATGCGCGTACAGAGGGAATATCGATTAAAATTCATTTCTCAACATTTCTGAGAATGTATTGGTTGGACAGACGGACGGATGGACGAACAAACCGAATAGTGATGCCTCTGTTGAAAGATAAAATACGCTTAAAAAAGATTAAGCGGAAAATAGTGGGCAAAATGTTCTTCAATTTACCAAAAACCTCAGCCCAGATCGGCCCTTGGGGTTTGAGGGTGGGGACGCCGATTGCGTGATTCGCCTAGGGGGCGCAAGTTGCTGGCAGCAGCTAATCAAGGGCCGCCCCTGCACGAGTAATATATCAATCTATGAATTACTCTTGGCTATTACATATATACGTATCTTGATAGACTTTGCAAGCACAAGACCGTACCGGTATGAATTTAGCACCAGATGGAAGATAATAACACCCAGTTGGTTGTACTCATGACTTTTTAAGAAATGCCCATTTCAAATCCTCTCATATATAAATACGCCTTTTAAAAAGAGAGAACAATTTTTATTTTAATATATCTGTTGACATAAAACATGTGCTTTACATGCTATATGCATGATCATATAGTTACAATAGTGCTGCATGCACCAGAATAAAAGAAATATGAAGTTAAAACAACACAGACGTCAATAGCATTGTGGTCTTAAAAATGTCATATTTAATCGTTGATGTTTCAGGCAATGGCTCTTCTTCATAGCCACATAGAGAGGCCAGAGATGTAGAATTTATTGAAACTGAAAAAAATGTACTTTTGATTGTCTATAGCAATTGAGACAACAACTCCTCATCCAAGAGTTGTTTTTGTTCCCACGTGCATTTGTAAAATCGAGGTTTTTCAATCTTAGCTCATAAAACCGAAACGTTACGACATCAGGGGGAAATGGCACGGCACGGCGCACGAACGATTCCACTCCCTGGTGGGTTTGCAGGCCTGGCCTCGCACTTCTCCACTATTGCCCACTACGATAGCACCATGACGAATGCTCACGGCATAAATAACCCCCACATTTTCCTATGAATGAATTCAGGAGTGAGTATTTAAAGAAAGTAAAAAAAAAATCATGTGGGAAAAGTATACAAGACCAATAAATAGCAAAGCCACAACTATCAAATAAATTATGACAATTGAGACAAACAGTACTGAAACATTTGCACTGTTATCTTTCTAACTTTTCACGTGACACTATCAATGTCTTGCCAATAAATATTGAGTACTAATAATGTTAACGTGATTTTTTTTTTAAAAAATATATCACTAATTATTTTACCATATCAATACTTAAAATACCCATGGCTTGCAGTCCTGCATTTCAAATCTGGGCTGGGAGAGAGTTGTAAGAGGCTGTGAATTGTGCTTCACCGCTTTCCAGAGCTCACTCGTAGTGATAAAAAAAGTTTAAGAGAACAATCTCCCCCCCCCAGCTCCAACCCCTAGCGAGTGCTCCAAATTTCCAGTCAGGTTTTTCTTCTTCAAGATTTTAATTTGTAGGTCAATTCTTAACACACCTGGTGTGTTTAAGATTATACATATCCATAACTAAACAATTCAGGCTTGAGGCATTCTATGAGAAGTTATATCATCCTACCGTCCTGTATTCTATGGATTAGAGGGCCACACTTGTTTCCCCGTGTAATTTAAAGCAAAAAGTTGGGGTTGCATCTTATAGTCCAGAAGGTATGTGTGTGTGTGTTGTTGGCCAGATTTGTATAATTTTATTCACACTGGGCATAGGTTTTAGGGTGTATTTTTGTTTGTTTCTGAAGCGTCCTGTAATATAACGAACGTGCTCATAATTGCTTTAGTAGTGGAATAAATGTCCCATATTTGGTTCTATGTAGCTGTGTTTTTACTTCTGAATGATTGTACAGTATAACATATTCGGAATTAATAACCTATGTCACAGATGCTGAATGACTGGGTTAATGCATGCCATTCAATCTAGCCATGTTTTAAATGGACTAGAAACAAATAGATTTTTTTACCCAGGGACTTACGGGATCACTGAATGATACGTTATTTTTACTCGTCGATTGAAATACAGACAGACAGGTGGTTTAGGGGTCACCGAGCATATGTCAGACCGAATATTCTCGAACACTGTATGGCACAAAAAATACCTAAATGCCTGGAAGAAGCTAATTGTGTCCCAGAGATAGCTGCATCACTGCCATCTCCTAGTCAACTTACTGCTTTAAAAACGTGTGCCACTAAACTAAAGTTAATGGTAGTGTTGCAATCAGGTACATCAGCGGCTGAATGCGAATGCTTCCGTATCAATTACTGCTTGAGGAACACACGCACTCTGAAGACTAAAGATGGGCGATGCTGCACTGGGCACACAAGCACAACAACAAGGATGCATCTCTAGGGGTGTTATAAAGGAACACACACATTTGTCACAGCCGTTAGGATGCCACGGGACAAACGCGTCGGTTAGCACCCTGGGGGGCTGTGGGTTTTGGATCCCTCAGAGCCCCGCCCCTCGGGGCCAATTCGTATAAAAGTCGGGGAGAGCCGGAGAGCTCGAGGCAGTGTTGGGGAGCCGAAGAGTGAAGAGCCAGTGAAGACAGAAGACCGCCTCGATAGACCCTGGAACTACTCGGACCCGCTATGTTATTCTCAGGGCCGGGCCGAGCAAGCCAGTGGTGCAGCCCCAGAGCCTCAGAGCCGATGTCCTTCTGTCTGGCTGGGTGTCGTGACCTGCGCCGAAGCTGGGCCAAGTCAGATAGCCTCCCCTAGCGCCTGTAGCGGAGCACCTGGGAGCATGAATAGTCAGGCAGATAGCCTCGGGGTGTATCCCAGTCCAGTACGGGTGAAGGCGCCGTTACCCCTTCTCAGTGCTACTCTGTTGAAGTCTAATCAATAGTGCTGCCTCAACTACACCGTCTCTGTCGTGCGTGAACCCACTACACATCTGTCAATGCTTTGATGCGAATGTTACAGCAGCGTTCAGACGATAAACATTGATAATCCCATGAAGCAAGGAGTTGACTGAGCCATATATGATTGGGTCGGCAATGCCTTCAATCATCATGAAACATAACACGTGGTAGGTGACAGCATGATAGTAGTTGAACATTGCTTCATGCATAACATCTGTCCCATTATCCATAATGCTTGACTAAAGTGGCCACCTCGATGGTCCAAAAGACCGGGTCATATTATGTAAATAAAATATCTCACAATACCAGAAGAAGGGAGAACTACATGAAAATGCATTGTGCTAAGTGGCATATTAATACCCCAATGTACAAAAAAAAAACACTTTCAATGTCCCGGTGAAACTTGGAGATTGTCCAAGGCAGCTGCCTCAACAAGAGGATGATCCTGGGAAAACCCAGGACAAGTGTCAACCGCATACTTGACAGCTGAATGGGTAAAATGGAACTGCGTGTTTTACCGTCTCCATCGATGTCCACAGAGCAGGCGTCCCCCTCCCCATTCCCGTCCGTGTCGATCTGCCCCGGGTTGTGGTTGTACGGGCAGTTGTCACAGCGGTCTCCCACGTCATCGCGGTCGTAGTCGTACTGCCTCGGGTTGAACTGCAGTCGGCAGTTGTCCTGTACAGAGACGCCACTGAATATTAATCAACTGTGCTGTTATTACCATGGCAGGGACGTTGCCACGGAGTCACGCTTAGCGCACCGGGACCTGCAACCCAGAGGTTCCATTTGATCTCCTGGCTCGGCAGTGGAAACAAATGGTCAAGATATACTGCTGTCTACCCAGCAGTATAATCTGGTAGAGCACAGTTAGTCGAGCGGAAGGTTAATTGTGTTGGGGCAAAGTGTGGGATGCTCTCACCTCTTCCAAGACGTCTGACCGGCGTGGAAGAGTAGGCCAAATACCCTCTAGAGGGGCTCTCTAGAGCTCCTTCCATTGGAAGCCCTGTTGCCAGTAATGCTGCATCTTTCACCGGTTCATTTTAATGGAACGCTACATTCATATTTGAATAATAATTCAGAAGAGAACGTGTCAAAATAAAATGACAGCACTTAACATGAATGACGATCACGATGATGTAACAAAACAACCAACAGAATGAGGGAGGAAAATCAAAACAAGAGAAATATAGAAATTACACCAAAAAAAATCACACATTAGGGGTACCCCAACAAGCACATGAATACTGCAAGGAATATGTGGAAAATGCAGACAAAATAGACACTCGAGAGACATAAATAAACGGAAAGGAAGCAGGGTGAGAGAGGTGAAGATGGAGGAGAATGTGGCAAACAGAAACGGACGATGTTGTTGCAGCATCAACCGCAGTCTGTTTCGACATTCCACCACTCAGCACTTAGGGAGTCAGTTCCATTTTAAATGGATTTGGTTCCACTCTGCGGCACTGGATACTCACGACAACATCACGGGTTTCATGTTTTCATACCTAACCTAGTAGGTTTGCTGACCCTCTGTAACAAAAGTGATAGCGATAAAGGTGCAGCCCTGCATCTCCTTGCTTACATCACTGCTCGCGAAAGGGCCTCCACCAGAGGCAGCTATAGAGAGTCCCTCTAGATGACACTTGGCCTACTCTTCCAAGCTGGCCAGATGTCTTGGAAGAGGTGTGATTACCCACACTTTACCCCACCGCACACGACCTACCAAATCATTAACTGCGGTAGGACCCAGCGATGCTATTGGTCGGAGAGAGGTGGGGGCTGGTTTTGTTTAGGAAACTTGTCCCATTGTTTTAACTGCCACGTCAGGAGGTCAAACGTAAAGGATAACCTCTAGATTTAAACTCTGGTGTACTAACCATTCCACCATGGTAGCGCCCCTAGCATAAGTCTGGTATACAGGAGGTCGTCGGTTCGATTCCGACTCTGACACCTGTGCATTTGGAGTTTGCTTGTTTCCCCCGTGGTCGCGTTGGTTTTTTTTTCTTCGGGTCCTCCGATTTTTCCCTCCAGATTTAGAAACAGGCGTTTACAGCATTTGGCTGCTGCTGTACATTTCCACGTGATAATCCACTTCGTTGAGCTATCATTTGTGGCCAGGTCGCTTCTGAAAAAGAGCTGTATAGCTCAGTGGGCCTTACCTGCTAAAATAGAAATCGTTTATAATTTATTTAATTTTCCAAAAAATCCTCTCCGAATGTCAACATTGCTATTCAGGAGACAGAGATGTTGGGCCATTTCTATACTGTGCATATCAGCATGCGGTATGAAGCTGTGCTACCCAGACGTAACCTGTACATCCATAAAATAGGTCAGCAACTGAATTGCTGCACTTCCATCATATTTACGATACAACTGTACTTATTATGTAGTTTCACAACGAATAACCATTCGAGTATTTTAAATGATAATCATTATTATAGTCGGTAAAAAAACATGTGTACAGCAATCCTCTAGAGTGAATAAAATAAATACCGTTTTTTTTAATTAAACAGTGGTCACAGTGTGGAGAGACTGGCAACCCCTAATGGGAAAGTGGAATTTCGAGAACTGGCTCAGGGCCACCATGCGGCTTGAGAGTCACCTAATTACTTATTGGGGTGGGTGCCAACATATGATGACACTCATTCTGCTTCGACTCTATTCACCAAATTGTTATGTGTCGGGGTGGAGAGTAACGGTCGGCGATATGGCGATATATTTCTTTCGAGTTGTATTTCGATGATTACATGAAATTAGTCCGATTGATTATTAATTGGTTCATGCGTTGAGTTGGGCACAGGGGCCGTCCATAAATGACGTCACGCGATTTTGGACGATTTTAACCCCCCCCCCCCCTCGTCACATGGCGTCACAAAAAGTCAGACCCCCCCCCTCAAATATGACGTCACAAAGCTCTGCCCCCCCCCCCAAAAAAAATAAAACATGCTTCAAATCGCTTTAAACTATTGTCATTGTAGTGCGTATGGTGGGGTGTTTCAGCGCCACTAGTTTTCCAAATGAGGTCGTCCGGGTTAGGCCGCGTGTTGAGCATTTTGTCTCTGAAGCTTGAAGATGGCCGCCGCCGTAGCAGCGGCAAGGGCCGGAGAGAAGAAACTGCTCAACACGAGGCCCAATCCGGAAGGCCATTCTTGGATGAGAAACAAGAATTTGAGAAATCCTAATCATCACTGAATTGGAAAATATTAATAGAGTACAGCAGGACTTGGCGCGAGCAAGGATGACTATCAACAGACTGGCCTAAGGAAAGAATGCATCCAGAGATTGGAAATGCATCAAGGCAAAGGAAACGAGTAGACCGAGTGCTGATATCAATAAAATGTTGGCGTGAGATAAATAACACCTGCACAGACCTATTGGCAGTGGCAAAAGTGTGGATGGCTTCATCCGTTATTGGACCGGAAAAGGCTATTGATGATATCCATCATAGTAGGTGCAATGACAGAATGAGGACAACATACCATTTTATGAATGCACTACAACGTTGGATATCCAACTACTTGGGGACTGTGGTATATTGATGGATACGTGAAAAAGGTCAGAATTGTGAACATCTATATAATATGACAGAAGATAAAAAAAAGTGTTGACTGTTTTAACCACGGGAAAATGCTTTACATTACTTTACATGTAAGAAAATGTATGCGATATTAAGAACACATCTATAGATAATGACATTAACAGCCATACACAAAAACTGCACTGGGTATTGGCAGTTCATTTGTCAGAGTGGATATGTGACAATCGCATATGTGGTGTTGCAATGCATGTAACGCTTCCACAGCATTTCCTGGGAAGAAAAGAAGACACACTAAAGGTTTTTTTTTTTAATTATGTGTAGAGACGGTGATGACACAATTGCTACTGATCATTGGTGGCAACACAGAGGACGTGGTCCAAATCCAACCTGGTGGCTAACAGGTGTTAATATGTTGATGATTTTAATTTCCAAATTGATGAAATGGCCTGCGAATGTCTGTCTCGTGCGACGTTAATGCAGCATTTTCTATAAAAGGTCATACACTTTAGGCATCTGTCGTGGCATATCTGTGCAAGCCCTATCTTGTTCCACGCTGCAAAATGTGCGGTGTGTTTTTCCGAATCACCATAGCAGCACAAAATTAATTGCAAAATAAGCGACTTACCCTGTCATCGAGAATTCCATCGTTGTCATCGTCATCGTCACAGGCGTCACCCATGTTGTCCTTGTCATAGTCCTCCTGACCCGAGTTAGGCAGGTGTGGGCAATTGTCCTTTGAAAAGAAAACACAGTAACATTATTATTATAATTCGTAAGTAATGTTGTCAGAATTTACATGTGCGCGGTAACCGAGGCGCTTTGCAAATAATTAACAACTGTATTTGTGAATGTAACGGTGGAGGTGAGGTGAATGAAATAGACGAGAGGCAGCAATGGGGGCGAATCTGTGATGATGCGCGAATTCCATGAAAGCGAAATCGATGACAGTAAATGATGATGAATGGATTGAACGAATGACGAATGAGTGATCGCCATATAATGAGAATATGAAGAGGGAACAGTAACAGTGGTGGTGGTTATGAGGGCGAGATTAAAGTGGGGTCATGGCATGCGCTCGGGAAAATAAGCGAGTTTTGAGTAAGGGGCGGAAACTAGTTTTTAATTATGATGAATAGCTTAAATTAACCCAACCAATATATTCAATGTCAAGTTTTGCATGACTGACCAATGAACACACCGAGATAGATAGTCAGAGTTGTCGCTGACATTCCTAATTTAGTTTTTTCCAGTTTTTATAAAAACAGACATAACCAAAGCAGATATTTGAACAACGCATAGTTTCCGTGATGCTTTTATATGTATATTTTTTTATGCACACGCTCTTCATTTATGGGTCAAAGCGGCTTGCAACGTGTTGGTCAACTTCACTTCTAAATTTATCCGGGGGTTGATCAAATGAGTGCCGAACTAATTTTTGCAAAGCCAGCTGTGTGATTGTCGCTGTGGATGAACTTGTCCCACCGCGCGTCAGGGGCATTTCCACTGCTGGCTCAGGACTGTGGAGAGGAGAGCAATGGCAGCCTTTCCTCGACGGAGCAAAAACTACTGACAATTTATTGTGTGTGCATGCTTCCGTGTGTGTGTGTCAAATCTTTGCTTGTCACAACTCATTGCCTGGTTTGTCGGTGCAACTCAGGGATGGGTTTACGAGATGGCATCACGAGAGACTCAGACAGACACCGTACGCCCTGGCTGGCCCTGCCTCGAGATTCGCTGCCATCTGTGCAGGAAACGTGAGCTCTGCCTATTTTTTTTCTATCACGGTTGGGTGAATCCAGAAAACGGCTACTGGTGAAAACTTTATGCCATGACATTCGTGTCTCAAAGTTATTAAGCAAAAGGTCTCATTCATGTTGGAAAAAGGGTAGTGTTCACCAATGTACGTTATGGATGGCCAAGTCGCTGCTATTTCTTGCCGATTTGGCTCCATTCCCACTGAAAATAAGCAGCTTCATCCAGTGCACGAACCAGGCAGTAAATATGTATTGCTTTAGGATCCCTTTGTTTTGCCTAATTGCACCAACATTTGCATTTTAGTTTTCCAACTGCAGATGAAGTGCAATCTTGTTTTGATACCATTCCTTCGGTGGATAAGACGATTAATAACAAGTACATATTTAAACGCTTAACTGTATTCAAAAGACTGGGACAAACAAAAAACCTAATTTAGAGTAATTTTGTATGTAAGCAAATGCCATCATAACAAACACAATGCAGTAATACGAGTTTAAAAAATTTAGTTGAACAAAACATAATGAGACCCAGATGTGGTGGTGAATTTGTATTCGTCATTTAGGCAAAGAAGGCCATGAAAAATCACATCTGGCGGGACTGTGTGCGTGGCTGTGGCAGTTCAGTCGCCGCGGCGTGTTTGCCTGCTGCTCCCTTCTCTCCCTCCAGCCCTGCCAGTTTGGCGCAGAGCACCCCCACGCCTCCCATCGCAGCCCGCCCACATCCCCACCTCCTCTCAGGAATGCATTAACCTTACTGGCGGCATGGGTCAAGCGCATTAATCTGCCAGTCCCGTGCGCTCTCTACCCTCGTGCATTCCTTCAGGTAGCCTCTCCCACCATTGCTGTCTGGATTTTGACAGCCGCTCAGACATGGCATGGCAAAAATAACGTTTCCAGTCTTCACCCCCCCCTCCCGCCCTGCTCCCCATGCACCCTGTAAAAACTTCCTGCACTCACTCTGAAAATGTAAACCACCAAAAAAATCTATAGATCTATGAACAATATGGAGCAGACTGCGAGAAGTCGACTTTCCCTGTAAGCGCAAAAAAATGGGCCGAGCCCTTGAACTTGTGAGAAAAAAACCTGATCTTATTGGCACTTGCATCTAACACTGGTCTTGTTAAATGCTTTTATAAAAAAAATATATATATATTTATTAATTAGGAAATTTGAGAAGTAGTGGAGAGAAAACAAATTCGACATATGTGTGATATTGCAGCTCTGAATATTTTTCCATTTCACAAAATACAGTATCCCCGAAAGGTTTTACTACAATAAAATGGCTTGACAAAAAATGATTCTCTTCTTACACCTTACCAAGGTAAAAAGATCCTGTCACACATCCGAAACTAATTACAATGACTCAAAAATAGAATCCTTCCACCATTTTAAGGCGAGGGATCACTTGCAGTGATGATGCAATTGGCAACAGCCTTCTATGTTAAATGTCTTTGTTTTGTGGACTTACCAATGTAAAAGCGGGGGACATATAATGGACACAGTTAGTCAAAAACCTTGAGCTTTAGCATCCAGACATTGGGAATGGCACGAGACAGTGCCTCCAAACAGACCAGTTTACTGTATATAATAATTATCGTTTTAATCTCCATAAGACGCGTACATTATTGCTTGCAGATAATTCATCCTGTTTGTTTCTAAGTTCGAAAATAGTTTGACTTAAACATATTTCGAACGGCCATATTCTGCTACCTATTTCACCATTAAGCAATGTAAAACAATACAAAACTACTTTAAAAAGGAAGTTATATACCCTGACAAATACTGCGCTATATTTCATGTCACACCCAGCTACTAGACTAACTAGAGCGATGCCACACTGATGAGATCCTTGGCAGTCCCTACCAGGGGGTGGCTGGCTGAGAAGCCCTGAAGTTGTTAGCTACTTATGATGCTATATATATAGGTGTCAGAGCTTTCAGCAACTACAAACTACCTTTTTATTTTGTGATAATAAACTTTGCTGAACGAGCATTGACGTGAGTTATCGCACAGCATGTACATAGCTACAATTTTCACTCTTAGTTTTGCTTTGTTGGTGCTTTCATCTGTATTCTTTTTCGCAGACACTTTCTATTTAGATTTTGAGATGTTTTCACGTTGTTATTTTCCCCCCGTTATCAATATAAACATCTTAAAAATATTTAGAATGGAAATTTAATTTAAGATCAGGACTGGGACTCAAAACGGGTGCAGGTGATGCAATGTTGCCAGGCAGGATCCCAGGGATGGAAAGTGCCCTCTAGTGGCACGTCTACTCACGCCTGGGTAGTAGTAGGTGCTCAAAATGGGAACACTCCTAGGAAAGCCAGGACACGTGGCAACTCCGAGTTACATGCCTGAAAGTGTGAGCACGGCGGCTGTACAGGGAGCCTTAAAGATCAAAACATTAGGGTCAGGAGGCCCGCATGTCTCAACTCGCGGTGGCCCAAAGCTGAACTCCGTGCAGCTCTACCCATTGGTCATGGAGGCCCTCCTCCACACGTGCCCCCGATCTGTACTGTGTCAGCGTGCACCAAGGCCTCAAAATTCCTTCATCTTCTACCGCAGGAGATGAACCAATTATGGATGGATGAAGACAAACATAACTTGTTTTTAGAACAAACACAATTTAAACTTCAGCTTTGTGGTTGTTTTTTTTTTGCATCAGCATGATGAAGTTTGTATTTGAGTCTAACCAAATTCCAAGAATGTACATGTTCATTGATGGCTCTAGCACAAGGTTTGCGGTTGAAGGATGGGTGGGTTTGCCAGACTCGTCTTCAGGGAATTGTGAAAGCCAAATATTTCATTTAGTCTGAATGAAACAGTAGCTTAAAAGATACAATTCCTGCTGAACAGTGCTAAAGTCTAACTGCACAAGTGTCCGTGTCTTTTGACAGGAGCTTGCCGCACGTCCGGTGGAGAACAACATTCTCCCAAGAACTGAAGCCGGAGAACGATACTCAGAGTTTGGGGAGAATTGCTCAGCCGGTCACTGAGAGCAGTTGACTTAAGCAGGAACCAGAATGTGTGACAGCATTGTCAGTACGAGAATGACAGAGAATGTAATGGGTTTTATGCAAGTCGAAATTTTATAAGAAGCATAAAAGCTTTATTTGGAATGGAGTCAAGAGATCTTTTTTTTTGTCAACCACAAACGGCTGTTAAAGAAAAACGCTCCCATACTAGTTTCATGCGGATGCAAGTTGACGTTATTGATTAATTCGCAATAAATAGAATGACCGGGGTGCGGGAAATCACATGGTTCACCACCCATATAATTTGTTCGAGTGACTTAAGAAATAAGCTAAAATCCATAAGTAAATTTGCAGATTGGTGAATAACGTTTGTATTTATAAAGTACATAATCACACCTTCAGTTTTAAAGACATTTTATCCCCCCGCCCCCCTCCCCAAGTTGATTGTGCTCCTGCACTGGCATTGTGTCATGAGATGGAGCATCCCATTATGTCTCCCATAGACAACACATGTAAGGGAGGCATCATTTTGTCAGTAAGCAGTGTGCCCAAATGTCTGCGCTGATTAAATCTGCGCGTTAAAAAGGAGGGTGCAAGGCATTATTAGTGACGGGAATCCCTGCTCCATCTGCGAGTCGGGGAGTGCGTCAAAAAAAAAACGCTTCGGCGACTGACCACGAGCAACACAGCTGGATACGATCACGGCGCGTAAACATTTCTCGACGATGAACACACGCTAAGCCGGGTCAAGCTAAATACACATTTCAGAGACGCGTTTATTACACGTGGCAGCTTGGAAAATAAGTAAGGGTCTGCTTTAGAAAAAATTTTTTTATAATAATACAACAATATAAAAGGCGTGTATGTGTGGTCAAGCTAGTCCCATCATATATAAACGCGGCGCTTACCTTGCGACAGTGATAAGTGGCATTGACCACGCAAGTCAGGTTGTAGTTGGGCCAGCCGTCAAGGTCGGTGTCCTCTCCACAAATGACCCCGTTTCCAGCGTAGCCCGTGCGGCACTCACACTTGAACGGAGGCTCTGCAAACTGGCCCAGGTGGATGCACTTGGCGTGCTTATGGCAGTTGTGAGTGCCATCCTTGCAGGGGTTTCTGGGCTCGCACGTCTAAAAGAAAAAAAATAAACCCCCGTAAACAATCGCATTTGTTAATATTGGCATGTATATATTTTTAACAAAGTACAATTAAGTTGAGAAATTCACTCCCAATAACGTGTACATGTGGGGAGAGGCTGCACAGTGGTTTTTGCACCGCAGCACAAACCTGATTAGCTGAGTTTGAGTCCCAACCGTGGCTAACACCAGTGGTGAGTGAAATCTGAACCGGTCTTGGGTTTCCTCGCTTCACCAAACCCACACTGAAGTTTTGTCAAGCAACCCCAATGCCCGTAGGGGATTCCTTTAAATCAGCAGTGAATTGAAAAAAGCAATAATTCCAGATGCCGGGCAGCGCCGTCTTTCCATGTCCCAGCCCGCCCCACCACGCACCTGCTTTGCTCGCTTGGCATCAGACAGTCCCACGCCGAAGGGCTGGTTTCCACCGTAGCGCGCCGGGCAGGGTTGGCAGTGAAACCCGGGTGCTGTGTTCTCACAGCGATGGATCCCGTTCAGATTGAAGCAGATGTCCTTCACCTCTTCACACTGCCCATGCAAAAAGGGTGCCGTTACCGGATCACTCAAAGCGCAAGTCAAAACGTGATCGATTTCCCGAGGGTCTCCCCCAACTCCCAATTGCACCCCCGCACCCCACTCCACCATCACCGCCCTCGACAGCAATGGGAGAGTGAGGAAATAATTTCAGGAGCCCAGCCCCATACAGCTTCACCTGAAATGAATCCCTGATCATCCTCGTGTATTCCTTTTTATACTGCAACTCCCATGCAGCACATGTCGAGGCAAGGAAGCGAGTTCGCACCGAATATGGCTTTCAAAAACAATGCAGTCTCGAGAACATTCACAACAAATGAGAACAAACAACGATGGAGTAGCGAAAATGTGCTTGAGTCTGCTCTCTTTCTTTTCTCGTGCACCTCATTTATCTACGCTGCCTTTCCCCGCGGGTAAAAGTGTAAACACGGCAAACGCCTTTCGCGGAGGAAGCAGCGAATCACGTGCGGTGCATACCTCGTTAATGTCAAGACATTCTGCTCCGTTCCCACGGAAGCCAGCGGGACAGGGGCCACACTGCCATGAGCCATCTGGGAAACTCGTGCATTCGACGCCCGTGAAGCACGGGCTGGAAAGGCAGCCATCTGTGACGCGCACAAAGTATCACAAGAGACGTCACGCACAGACACACCGCTGCGTTTACAACCTTGCGTGTACGCAAGGTGGACGTGATCGCCTCTATGAGCATGACCTCGAGAGTGACCCCGTTCACAGAGGGCTTCGAATGAGCGAGCCACTTGAGACGTGAGGATAACGAGGAATTGAATTTCTAACTCATTATACACCCCCCGTGGTGCAATGGCTTGCACACTGGGCTAGCAATACAGAGATCGCCAGTTCAAATGGATCTCTCGGCGTGGCTGTGGGCCAGGCTTTGTAGACCCACCCAGCAGTATTAGTTGGTCTATCGGCAGGTGGGGTAAAGTGTGGGTATTCCCACTATCCCAAGATATTTGGCTACCGTGGATGAGTAGGCCGACACACTCTGAGAGGGGCTCTCTCTAAAGCTCCCTCTAATGGAGGCCCTTCCACATGCGGTAACATAAGCATGCATTTGCAGGGTCGCATATTAGTCTTCACCTCCACGTCTCATTAGCACAGCAGCAATGTCAAGTGTGCAAACCGAGTGAGGGGAGGCCTTCATCCAGCCGTGCGTTGACGAAGGGATATTAAAATAAAACGTTGAATTACTTCACGTCTCAGCAATCCTATTGCAATTACACTTCGGTTTTTCTTTTTGCACAGCTGAACAAAGGCCTCTTGTGCTTACACGCTTGCACAATGTGAAACAAGTTGACTCCGTTGTTTCAATATTAAGCTCTCTGTTGACAGCATGGTGCTGTGCAGCACAAATCGCTTTCAACACGTTATAACTCATTGTTCTGTCGATACTGCGCGATCCATTTCAGCAAAGATGTTTTTTTTAGAGCTTTATGGTGGTATCAGAGATGTGAGATAAAGGCGCAGCCCTGCAACTAGCCTAGCCACACCACTGGCCGTGGGAGGGCATCCACTATCGGGGGAGCTCTATAGGACCCCTCTAGAGGGTGGTTGGCCTGCTCTACTACCACGTTGGAGACAAGCATCTTGAGAGAAATGGGAGTCACCCACGCTTTGCCCCCATCAAACTCGACCCGCTGTTCGACTAACTGTGGTCTACCCATTACGACTGCTCGGTGGACAGGGGTGGGGGGATTCATAAACCTGCGCCACTGTTTCAAATTCCGGTGCCGGGAGATTTAAAAAAAAAAACCTCAAACTGGCGACCTCTGGATTGCAAGTCCCGCGTGCTAATACCACCATGGTTAGTGTGCTAACCATGGTGGTATTAGTATTGTTATTATTTGTTTTGATATCCCACACACGTCCAGTACATACAATACATGCACACAAGCAACATCATTATGTTTAACATCACCGCGCAGTACTCGACAGATGCTTCTTCGTCACTTGCAGTGGTCGACTGAAACCAGTGCAAACACAAATCTGCGTGCAGAGATTTTTCGAGTCGTGAAATGGATCCAAATCCAGCCCTCGATTTCACAGCTACACAAACACACGCATGGAAGGGCTGCAGGAGAGCTACGTCTGGTTTCCCGTCCACACGCTCGTGTTCTGCCCGCCGCCGCTGGCTTAAACGTCATCAACAGCGTTAGAGCCCTCGTCTTGCCGCTGCCATCAACAGCGTCAGCTGGGATACGGATACCCGGCGCTGCGCGTTTCCCAGCAGCCGGAGTTAACCTTGTCACTCTCTTCGCCACCACACAGTGCGTGTGTTTGCACTTTTACCGAAAATTCAGGTGCAACGCTTGATTGTTTAATCACACGAGTAGCGTCTTCACAGAGAACTCCATTTCCTTACTCCTCAAATGAGGAGTGAGGAAATGGAGTTCGGTCATTTCTGTGCAATAACCATAACCATGCTGGGCCACAATCACGAGCGATTATGGAACCACAAAGGGTGAATGCAGAATTTTGATGAATCAGCATGAACGATACAATGGGTTCAACGCTGCCGTTTAATGAGCCAGAAACGGCTGAGATTTTGTGTAGGAATGTAACAGTTACAGCTGCTTCATGCAATATTCTTTATATTCTGACATCTCCCCATGGTGATGCTTTCTTAACCAATTAGGGAGCCTTAGAAGGCTCAGCACTGTGATATTAATGTTCCCATCACTCTAGTTCGCTCTGCAGTTTTGTTTTTAATGTTAAAAAGGTTCTACCATGTTTCCCTTGCAAAAGACATTTTTAATTGTTGGTAAGTTGTGACCTCCATCAATAAAAAAATATTATTTCATTAAAAAACCTCAGACTACTCAAGAACACTTAAAGCTCACTGTCCATGTTGTACACTTTTATAACCTCTGCCTATTTTTATATTTGGGGGAGAGTTGGTGGTGGAGAGGACGATGAATTTGACTACTTCGCTTCGATTCCTGGCCACGGCTAACATCAGTGATGAGTGATATCTGAACTGATCCTGGGCTACCCTCTTCACTAGACCAAATTGAGCAGTGTGGTGAAGTTTGGTAAAAATAACTCCCGTGGCTGACACGGTATGGGGAGGCCTTTATTCAGCAGTGAATTGCCAATAAATATATTCACTCATATATTCCAACGTTAATCGTGCTGTTTGTTGCTGATCACTTGGCATATTGGGCCTTTGGGCCTGTGCTCAGCAACTGTGCATAAAAAAAGTAAAACAATAACATTTCTTTTTCTTGTTGCAATGCTTACAGATCTGAGCTCCTGTCAACAACCTGACGATGCTGGATGCATTCTCCAGCGAAACGTCGCACCCATTTAAATGTTGTGAGATAACTCGCCGACAACAACAACACCAACAACACCGGTGGCGCTGCTGCAGCAGGGATACATTTGGCCACGTTTGATTCACGTGGCCCTTATTAATTGGCTGTCTGGCAAAAGGAAGATTCATGACACGCATTTTTTGTCACACACAACCCAACAGAAAACGAAACCAATTACGAATTATGCTTCACGTTCCTAACGTGTCTTTGTGGTAGACGATAAAAAGTCACGGAAATACCGATGGGGCATTCTTCCTTGTTGCAGATGTCCGTCTCGCGTCCGTCTCCCACACATTTCTTGCCGTTGAACTGTGGCTCGGGGTTGTTGCAGAGGCGCGTGTGCTCACGGAGACCCCCGCCACACGACACAGGGCACGGTGACCAGAGAGTCCAGGGTCCCCAGTTCCCGTCGACTGAAATGACACAAACACCCGAGGTTACACCCCTGCCTACCAATGGAACAAGTGCTCTCGGTGAAAACACGCGACACCAACCTTAAGTTAAAGAGTAGAATATCTGCGGCATTGAAAAGCATTGAAAGTGTTATTTCGGACAAAGGAAGAAGGTCGTGGTCGCAGTACCCACTGCGTTTATTTCTGCAGGGATGCTGTCGCAATGTAACGGGCAGCGGCACTGGCCTTGCAATGCAAAGGTTTCTGGTTCGTCCTCCAAGCGCGGCAATTTGAAACAATGTCCAGCCGGCGGTACGAATGGGTTCGTCGCAATTAGTCGATCGGCAGGTCGGGTGTGGGTACAGCACTCCAAACTCTTCCACGACGTCTGGCCGGCATGGTTAGAGCAAGCCAAATACCCTCTAGAGGGGCTCTATAGAGTTTGTTACAGTGCAGACCCTTCCACCGTTAGTGGCGTGAGTGACCGATTGCAGGGCTGAACCTTTATCTTTTTGACCATTGTCCATAATTATTTTTTTTTTTTACTCTGGCAAACAACTAAAACAATGAAGTGCAGTGTCAAGATTAACACGGAAAATCAATGGCACTCACTCGGGCAGGGCTCCTTGTTGCAGGGGACGTTTTCGCGGCCCTGCCCGTTGCACTCGCGGCCGCCCAGCACAGGGACGGGAGAATTGCAGAGACGGATGCGCGTGGAGACGCCGTCGCCACACGACACGGAGCACGACGACCAGGGTGACCAGTGGCTCCAGCCGCCGTCACGTTTCACTGCGTCGCGCGCAACGACAGCAGCAGCAAGCAGCAGCAATGACACCCCGCGGGTCAACGCGCGACAGGGCCACGACGATCAACCGCCGGGGCCCTGTCGCGCTCGCCTTGAAGGGTAACGATTGGTGCATGTTTAGGGCGCAAAAATGCCTCTGCAATTCAAAGTGCCCTCCAATGTCTCATCTTAACCGTTCCAATACCCTATTGCAGTCGAAACAAGGGACCCCCCCCACCCCCCCCTCCTGCCATGGCAGCTGTCCCTGTGCAGCACAAATGTTAAAAAAGGAGTGTGTTTCAAAAGTATATTTCTAGAAAGGAAGTCAACAATTTTTTCGTGGGATTTTTTTTTTACCGTGTAACGATAGTTACAATGTTGTATGTCTATGAGCAGGATGCAAATAGATCATTTGTCTCGAAGGTTATGGTGACGATAATGCTGGTCAAATTCATTGGAAATTATTTTAATTTAACAAATCTGGTGCGCCGGCCCAAATAAAGCAATTATATATTTTTATTAAATGTGGCACATCGGAGCATGTGGTGTGACGATTTGAACTGGAAGCAGATGGGACCAGTTTTAATTTTAAGCATTTATATAGATATATAACTTTTGACTGGGCAAAGATTTCGTTTCATTCTGAAAATTATCTCAACATATTAACGGTGATACATTGCAACAGTTAAAATAGCATACTGTACACAAGCGCTTAGAAATAAACTGAGCAAATTGACAATACTCCATATGTTGTAATGTCCAAACTACGTTGTTGTTGTTGAATACACAGTATATTCACGCAGTGTGAAAGATGTAGGAAAGTGTGAGTAACATAAATTATGACTTAACATGTAGTTTCGTGTGGCCGACATTACAATTCGTAAACAATTATCAGATACAAAGTTGATTACATGGCACAACTTAAAAATCATGAATGCACAACAAACGGTGACGTTATCCGTACAGATTCAATGCATAAATGCAGTGCATATAATACAAAGTGCTAACTCAAAAAACATCTAGAATAAATACAATGACAAAAGATGGAAACCCGCAACATTTAAAGTACAGTATTTATTATTTAATAAATAGATTACATAATCAACATTTTTATTTAGATTTCCAGTAGTAACTATCCCAAATGTCTGCGAAATGCTACTACCTGTCCTGAATACACCATCTCTGAGCACCAATTTCCCATTGAAGTTCTCGAAGGTATTCTGTTTTAACACCTGTCTATCTAACCTCTGATGACCTTGGCAATCTGTTTTCCATACTGGCTCTTCCACTGAAGCCAATCGTCCTCATGTTCTCAATTATATCTGAAACTTTGATCGTTCCTTTTTTTCCCCCCGCCGATATTTTGCCCTCCACGACCTACACGCTACCTCAGATGCCGCTGGCCACACTGTTCTCCGCAAATGCCATAAGCACAGTGCGTCTGATTCATGGGTGAGTGGAGGTTGTTTCATGTGGGCGGCAAAGCAGCCTGAAAATATTGTTAGAATTTTTCTCCGATATAAACTTGGCTCTGACATGTGGAAAGCATTGAAATGTAAAAAAAAAATTGCAAGAAGACCGGTGCAGGGCAACGCTAGGAGCAGAGTAAGACGAAGATGATCCTGTCTCTCTCCGCCAAGCGGAATGTCTCTCTCCGCCAGCAGGCATGAGCACTGCAGGTCGGGTGGGCCGGGTCAAGTCGTGGTGACCCCTTTCCTTAACATTGCCACCTTACTCGATGTTGGGGACCCTCAACTGTGAAAAGATTTGCGTGCAGAGTGCCAGATCTGCACTACTTTTGTGCTGTTGAGATTTCATAGTGGTATGAGAGCTGTGATTAGTAGACCTATTATTCACCACTGAAGCATTTTTTCTCAGACTCACAACATCAAAGACACTAAGTTATAATCTGGCACGTCTGCCTCTTGTTCTTTAGGCAACTTTAATTTAAAGAGCGTGGCAAGAGAGAGAGGGGTAACACATAGAGAGGTGGTTTCTTCCCTTTCGATAGTTATTTTTACAATGTCTGTTCCTGAAGAAAGCATATTAACAAAAACTGAAAGTTATTTCTTTTACCTCAGTTTTACTGAACATCCTGTGATTGAAAATTATATGGTACATATTTAATGATGGTAATGATGCACTGACGCTGATCAACACCGGAGCATTTAAAACTTTTACTATTCCACCGTATGCAGGATTTATCATTGTTAAAATAATGTTGGAGTTGCTATGCAAACAAATGCAAGAGCCATAGAGTGAAACTTTAAAAATAATATTTCCTCTTTTGAGAAGAGTTATTATTTGTGTTCGTGCACACTGCCAGTGTAGTGGTTAAAGGATGTGTGTCTGGAAAATCACAGACACTTTTAAGTAACTTAAGATGAATAATTAACATATAAAGCACTTTCAGGTACAGGAGAGCAAAGGTGTCATATAATCCATGACACTAAATAAGTAAATAACTTCGTATTAATTTTATAACAACATAATAAAACGATCCAGTCAACGCAAAAACAATAGATTGTGATCGAGATAAGTATAACCTTGTGATTATGTTGATCGTTTAGCAGAGATATCTTATGTAGTAAAAGTTATGGAGAAACCTGACGCTATTGTTAATGGCGAGGGTACATTTTAAGGTGAAGACGATAGTGATGGTGTTGCAGGAAATTACGTAAGTTATGTTATTATTTTATTCGACTTTCAGAGTCTTAATATGGCCTCACCAAATAGATCCCTTACAGCCTTAACAGAACCCAAAGCATAGTGAAGTATGGTAAAAAAAAAACACATGATTGACATTGTTCCCTGTCGGTAGATTGAGAACGGCTGAGATATGTTTTCTAAAGTCTATTTTCACATTCTGTGTAAAAATAATGCAAATGTGAAAGTCGAATGATATAATTGTTTACATAAGCGATTTCCAGAACGATAGCATCTGCTGCTGGTTAAATGGTGACTATTATTCCGCTCTGCACTGGCGATAAATATTAGGGCCCGACACTCGTGGCTACTTTGATTGGGTGCCATTACTTCAATAAGTCTATTGGACACAGTGAGCTGGCCTGAGCCTGCCCTGATTTACACCATACAGTGAGGGGAAGAAGTATTTCATCCCCTGCTGATTTTGTACGTTTGCCCGCTGACAAAGAAATGATCAGTCTATAATTTTAATGGTAGGTTTATTTGAACAGTGAGAGACAGAATAACAACAACAAAATCCAGAAAAACGCATGTCAAAAATGTTATAAATTGATTTGCATTTTAATGAGGGAAATAAGTATTTGACCCCCTCTCAATCAGAAAGACTTCTGGCTCCCAGGTGTCTTTTATACAGGTAACGAGCTGAGATTAGGAGCACACTCTTAAAGGGAGTGCTCCTAATCTCAGCTTGTTACCTGGATAAAAGACACCTGTCCACAGAAGCAATCAATCAATCAGATTCCAAACTCTCCAGCATGGCCAAGACCAAAGAGCTCTCTAAGGATGTCAGGGACAAGATTGTAGACCTACACAAGGCTGGAATGGGCTACAAGACCATTGCCAAGCAGCTTGGTGAGAAGGTGACAACAAATGGAAGAAACACAAAAGAACTGTCAATTTCCCTCGGCCTGGGGCTCCATGCAAGATCTCACCTCGTGGAGTTGCAATGATCATGAGAACGGTGAGGAATCAGCCCAGAACTACACGGGAGGATCTTTTCAATGATCTCAAGGCAGCTGGGACCATAGTCACCAAGAAAACAATTGGTAATACACTACGCCGTGAAAGACTGAAATACTGCAGCGCCCGCAAGGTCCCCCTGCTCAAGAAAGCACATATACATGCCCGTCTGAAGTTTGCCAATGAACATCTGAATGATTCTGAGGACAACTGGGTGAAAGTGTTGTGGTCAGATGAGACCAAAATGGAGCTCTTTGGCATCAACTCAACTCGCCGTGTTTGGAGGAGGAGGAATGCTGCCTATGACCCCAAGAACACCATCCCCACCGTCAAACATGGAGGTGGAAACCTGCTTTGGGGGTGTTTTTCTGTTAAGGGGACAGGACAATTTCACCGCATCAAAGGGACGATGGACGGGGCCATGTACCGTCAAATCTTGGGTGAGAACCTCCTTCCCTCAGCCAGGGCATTGAAAATGGGTCGTGGATGGGAATTCCAGCATTACAATGACCCAAAACACACGGCCAAGGCAACAAAGGAGTGGCTCAAGAAAAAGCACATTAAGGTCCTGGAGTGGCCTAGCCAGTCTCCAGACCTTAATCCCATAGAAAATCTGTGGAGGGAGCTGAAGGTTCGAGTTGCCAAACGTCAGCCTCGAAACCTTAATGACTTGGAGAAGATCTGCAAAGAGGAGTGGGACAAAATCCCTCCTGAGATGTGTGCAAACCTGGTGGCCAACTATAAGAAACTTCTGACCTCTGTGATTGCTAACAAGGGTTTTGCCACCAAGTACTAAGCCATGTTTTGCAGAGGGGTCAAATACTTATTTCCCTCATTAAAATGCAAATCAATTTATAACATTTTTGACATGCGTTTTTCTGGATTTTGTTGTTGTTATTCTGTCTCTCAATGTTCAAATAAATCTATAATTAAAATTATAGACTGATCATTTCTGTGTCAGTGGGCAAACGTACAAAATCAGCAGGGGATCAAATACTTTTTTTCCCTCACTGTACACCGGTACTCATCCGTCAGCTCAAAGCTGAACATTATTTTGTTACGTCCGAGAAAAGGGACCATCTTCATCACGTTTCAGTGAAAAACCACTTGAAAATTATTTCGCAGTGTATATGTCGCTATCATTAATTTTAATCGTTCTAAAAAATGTATGTGGTTCTATACCTCATCTCTGAGGTACAATGTATTGATTAAAGTTGAAAGAATCTGATGATCTATGAAGCTCTTTTTCACAAGTGTCCAGGCCATGCTCGAGTCGGCAATGGTGGACACATTCTTTCGTGGGAAAATTGTACATGTAAGAAAGCATTATTCTTTATTTTCACATGTTATATGCAACTTGTTCACGTGACCCCTGGAGCCACTAGAGGTGCTACTTTCACCAATAATGTAAGTATTAAAACATTCTTGAATCGTGCCTGATTGGTTGCCGTGCATGTTGTGCTGTCCTTGTGCCACTGCACTCGCTTAATCACGTTGGCCACGGCCGTTGATGTCACCGCACCTCTGCCAGCGCTTTTTACCGTCTGCCAGATCCCGCTGCTGCTGCTACTCAGTGGACGCCCTTACAGTATTCCATTATCGGACGTGAGCTTTACCCTTTGGTCGCCGGGACTTATGGAAATAATTCCAATGTTTGAGACGCAAAACAAAACGCAGATGCGAATTTGCGATAGCCGCCGTTGTGATTGCTGTGCGTGCACAGAGTGACTGACGCTCACCCCTCTTGTCGCAGCTCTTGGTGTGGCACTTGCGAATCTGGATGGAGGGCCCCTCGCATGTGCTGCTGATGCGGTCGCAAGAGCGGCCTCTCTGCTGGGAGCCCGTGCCGCACGACACGGAGCACTCGGTCCACTCCGACCACGGGGACCAGCCCTCGCCTTTGTCGACCGCTGGGCAAGAACGCGTTCACCGCAATTAACACAACACATTAGGGTCCCGGGCCTCGCCTTTGCAAATCGCCAAACCAAAACGCTGTCTTCACAGTTAAACATAGCGTGGATCCCCTTCTCAATTTAGATGGAACAACATTATTTCGGATAATGCCCGCGGATGGTCATGTCTTGTGTTGAGTTTGAGGTTTATTAGATAGTTTAGAAGTTAGTTTTTTTTTAATTACTGTAGCTGAGAATGAATTCAGAGGTATAAAATTCCAAGTGCCCAGCAACAATCAGCACTATTGTAAAGGTGTAATAGATAAGAATTAATATCTATTGAATCTATTGAATCTACATCCCTGTGTCAGTCCACTGCAATCATGGAAATAGTTTTTTTTTTAATCAAACTTCACTTTTTTCTTTCATTGAGCAAGGTTATACAAACTTAAGAAGAAAGACGGTGGAAGAGAATTCCAAGTTGTGGACTCTTTGCTTATCGAGACAGAAATTTACCGAATACAAAATGCAAGAACACTTTAATGTCAGTTATTGATTCGATATGCTAAGAAATAACTTTGGTTAAGCAACAACTGCAAGGCCAACAGGTTGTGTGGCGTACTTATGCAGGTTGGGCAACACTCTCCCTCCAGCACGACGGCATTCATGCAGGCAACAGGAGAGCAGGACAACTGGCGACACATGGTCTTGGAGTCCTACCAAGAGAAATTAAAAACAAAAATTACACAAGTTCATAATTACTGCTTATTTGGCATGTGACCACAGGAATGCGGTACAATTTAATGCACTTAACTGTGGAAAACTATGTATTCTTGGGTCTTTCGGTAAAGTCACGTAGATAGGTTCAAAGAAAATAATGTAAAATAACAGAAAAGTACGACGTTTCGATCGCAACGTTGGCGGTCGTCTTCAGGAAAAGGGGGGTTAGCTTAGAAGATAAACTGTTTATAAGGGTTTGAAATGGGCGTAGCCCAAATGTCAGCAGCCAATGATAATGTAAGTGTTCGGCAGAGAACCCGGTGGCGGTTCGTTTTCCACCAATCAAATGGTTGCCAGGTGAAAATTAGCATGTTTAAAAGAGATTAACATTATGAGACCTCCTTTGCCAGAAACAAGATATAGGAATAGGTTTTACCCTTTAACTGGCACAAAAACTGACACCTTTATTCAAGGCATCATGTTTGCAATAACCACAACACAAGCAGTCAAAATGCCAGTTAAAAGGGTAAAACCTATTCCTATAAGAGATTAACATGTTCATGGGAGCTCGCAGAGCCACAACTAAGGGGTCGGCGTGCGAAGTGACTGTGAAAGCGCAAGTTTGAAATGGGCGTAAAGCACAACTAACATCGGAAGGTGGTAGGATGGGAACATCATAGCCAGTTATGACTTAAACTGGTTGATAACGTCCTTACAACGATTGCTCAGTTTGCACCCATCTTCTCCATTAAAATTGTGTCTGTGTATATATGGACGGCTTCATAAACGAATCTTTGTTGATAGCCAGTGGGCTTGCAAAGTACCTTCGTCTTATAGAAATAAATTTCGTGTGAGCCCACCGCATTAAAACAATGATCAGCCACGGCCAAGGTATTGGTCCTACCGGGTTTCAGATCTGCCTTATGTTCACGAACACGGTCCGAGACATGTCGCTTAGTTTCCCCAATGTAACTACTGTCACAGACACAGCTTAGTTTGTAGACGCCAGAGTATTGCATGTCAGGGATCACATCCTTCACAGATGGGATCAGATCACAAATTTTATGTACTGTGTTAAATCGAACCTGGAGCTTGTGTTTGCTCATGATTTTGGAAATATTTTTAGTGACCCCTGCTATGTATGGCAAGGTGATGGTTTTGATTGGGTCCTCAGATGGTTCTTTCCCAAAGGTTGGGATAATAGCTTTGTGGAAAACTGCTTATATTGTTTTATGCTTAGCTAAATTGTGTGGAGCTTTAGGGTAATGGTGAGTTAAAGTAATTCACGAAATAGAAACAGGTAAGTTTAACAAATCCATGGAAACACAAATGAAAAATACTCCTTGAGAAACATTACAGTTTTTGTGAAAGGCTTATTAGCCAAAGTATTCCAGAAATTGTTTGGTGCTTAGAAATAATATTTATTTTCTCGTTAATATCACAGCTTACCGAAAGAGCGCAGCAATATTTTGCACACTTGCTATTTATTGCTTAAACCCAGCTTGTTGACCCTTAATCATAGCACAAACTCATTATGCGGGCCGATATTTTACATGGAGTGCTGCAGCCAATAACATCTGGTAATTCAGTGACATGTATGTATGTATGTTGAACTATGCATGTTGAACGTCTTTTGTACCGCACGTACTTAACAAGCCTGACTCTGCTGATGGGACCCAGAAGATCAAAATCGGTCCAGGGTTTGCCTGCTTAAACAGATAGTGCTTGATATTGTTCAGGATATCCAATCGGCTGACGGAAAACACGTGTGTGTGTATGTATATATATATTTTTTATGCTGTTGAGCTTTCATAAACACCGAATTGACTTCTGCTTATATTCGATCGTACCAGTTGCATTGGTTTAAGGGATCAGACTCGGTGGGTTGAGTCCAAGGCAGCTTTGTTTATAGAACTGCTGCCAGGAAGCATTCTGTGGCCTCATAGAAAGAGACAAGATGGGCACCACACCAGACCGGCTACCTTGCTGACGTTTTTAAATTGACTCATCCTTAAAGAACATCGTCTACTCATGCACTTTGTATCAAATCACGAAACATTTACAAACAAAGCATATATTTGCAGTAAAGTAAACAATGCATGGTTACAAGAAAAAAAACACCTCCCAAGGATTACGAAAATGTCAAAAAGGCACACTCGTTCTCCGAGGCATTTATTAACTGCAAAGGCTGATTTTTGGACTACAGCCCAGGACCATGAGTAATAAATGAAAGAATATTTAAAAACACGTAACTTTGCATTAGTTTTTTGGGAACAATTCCCCAATATTTTTCTGAAAAATGTTCAATTCTCGCTTGAATAGCAGGATGCTGCCGTGGTGCGATGGTTATCCAGAGGTCATCGGTTGTATCTCCCGGTGCGGCAGTTGAAACAATGGATACATTTCAAATCCCCCCCACCTCTATCCATCCAGCAATATCCATCGATACACCATAGTTAGTCGATCGGCAAATCACTGTCGGTGGGGTAGTATGTAGTGACACCCATCCTTTTCAAGATGTCTGTCCATTGTGGAACATTAAATCCAATACCCTCTAGAGGGGCTTTCTAGAGCTCCCTGGAGTGCAGGTCATTACACCAGCAGTAATGTGAGCAAGCAATTTGCAGGGCTGTATTTATGTACGTTGCGAACGTCTTTTGCACCGTATGTAGCCAATCCGTACTTGATTGGCAGCCACTGGTGACTTCACTGAAGTACTGTGCGTGGCTTCTTTGAAGCCACGTAGGCAGGCAGTCCACCCACCCACCTGGCAAGTGCAGGAGAAGCAGCTGTCCACCGTCCACTCGGCGTGGTTCTCGTAGACTCGTCCATCGTGCCAGCACATGCCCTTCTCTGTGATGCCCAGACTGCGGTGCAGCTTCGTATTCTCATCACTCTGCCCACGGGAAATGTACAGAGAATAATAATAGTAATGAGAATCAACAATGTCATTGGTACATTCACAATACTCGTTTTCAGGATGGTCCTGCCTTTTAAAGGAGCGTATCATATTTGGGAGGAGACCAGAGTGCACGGAAAGAACTCACCACGCACACACACACACGACAGAATAACACTCAGACGGGCCAAACATACAGGTTCACAAACCCTATTTGCCACGTCGTAGTCATCGCCAATCTGTAATCTACCAACCTGTGCCTCTAAAGCGCTGGATTACAGGCACACGCATGCTGTAAATTGTTTGCCACACTGTATAACGATACAAGTTTTATATTTATATATCTGTCTGTGCTCAAAACGTGGAGGGCTCGACTCAGATTTCCAAAAGCATTCCAAACCACTCGTCCAGCTCTTTATTTAATAATTGTTGGTCTCTTTCCCATCTTCAGTTACAACTACAAAAGGTGTACATGCCCGGCTATGTTTTACTGTTGTGTCCCTCTGACAGAAAACTAGCCCTCTGTCTCTCTGCGGTAATCAACGGCGGTGTTCCTATAGATTGATTAGCCCCACCATAGTAATGTGGAGTTTCCACCACTTGCTCGGGAACATAAGTGGACGTGAGTATTACCCAGCATGTGTGCGACACAGCACAGACTTTCACACACCTAGAAAACTCACAAAGTTGAACGAGTACTCATCACATTTCAAGTGTGTAAAAGTGATCGTTTCCCTGAGGCCTAAGTAATTTCTCCAGGACAATTGTGTTGGGGTTCCACATATACACTTCATAACTTTAACTCTGCTGGAAACCATCAATATTGCCTTTGTTACGTGACCAAAATTGGAATTAGAAACCATTTTTAGCGGTATTAGTAATCATGACTTCTTCATTGAGGCTCATATCAGCGATGTTACCAGGGTCTCTGTCACCTCAGAGATATTACTTACGTCAGATTTTGTCTGTCCTCATCAGATGCCAAAGAAGATGATTCAGACTTTATTTAATTTATAATAAATGATTGCAATCCTCTTCCGATTGGAATATCTGACTTTACAAGTCCTGGCTACCAGTTGTACAACATGTTCTGCCAGAGATCTGACAAACGTTTGAAAACAATTTTCACGTGACTCCAGTTCTGCCCTTGCTTCACAGACTCATTTAGGTAGAATATATCAAAGGTTATCACTTAGAATGCTCTGAATGGTCTCGAACCTTCTAACCTGAGCTCCTCTTTCTTTATGTCCTAGGTCACGTGTTATGTTGACAAGACACTCGCCTATTACGGCTGTCTCGGTTCAAAATACAAACCACGGGGGGTGGATCATTTTGCCCATCTATGTATGTCCTGTGTCGAAGGTCTATATATATATGTTGTTGATGAACGTGTTGATTTTTTGTTAATCATGTTTTAAAATGGCACAAAAAAGACAATAAACAATAGCACATAGCATATCCAACTCGCTGGGGACTGAGGTACAGATGGTTATGTGAACGGTTTGATTCGTGAGAATCTTACAATGGTTAAAGCTGCGACGTCATAGTTACACATGTAAATAACTTGATGTTTTTTTTTACAGAACAAACAAGGCATATTACTCGAGTTAGAAAAGTGAACGTAGAGTAGATGCAGGATGCGATGGCCGTACCAGATTCTGGATGCCATCCACAAGTTTGCTCACTATGACACGGAGTCCCTTCATCTCGGAAAACATGTGTGTAACATCCTTGCACGAGTAGTCACAGTAGCCAGCTGGCTCCAACGACTTGCCCATCTTCTGGCCCAATATGTTGTTGACAATGGCAGAACTCGCACTCTTAAGTTCAGTCTGTTCCAAGGGAGCAAGGACCAGGCCATCTGGGAGAATATAAAGCGGGGGGAATGTCCTGTGAAAACCCCGCCACAGCAAGAAGCCAAATTGCTGACCTCAAACCGTATCGCGTAGCAAGCTTCGCTCATATCTCTTCCTGTAAGAAACGTCATAATTGTGTCACACATTATGCATCGACAACTCCCCGTCTGCAACTCTGTTCCGAGCAAATCCTCGAGATCCGTGGGTACGACTCGATAAATGACAACCGTTATCTGCACGTTGCTTTTTTCACCATTTGTGAACAAACGCAGTTTAGAGGAGTAACACAAAAGTAATCACAGTGGGAGTTAACTTGATCTTGTTGTGCGCGGGGTCCACAGATATGAAGACGCCATACGGGATTGAGTTTGATTATTCTATGCAGATCCCCTGAAATCTATTGACCGCCTACACTCCTGGGTAAACAAGCATTATAATAATTATTTAAACACCATTGTAACTCATTGTGGATAATTAATTGGCATGTATGCAACAACACGGCCCTATTGCAACTGTGCAGTTTGGTGCGACTTGCTCAACAAATGGTTTCGCACCTCCAGGGGGCCGAATTCTCGTCGCGTTTTCGTCTGTCCTTTCGCCACTTTCTGTCGCAGGAAATTTCTCACCTTTCCTTACGAGTTCATAGGGCGGAGATTCATTTGGAGGTTTCTGTGAAAACCTACCGAGTGAAATTACTCCCCTTTCCTTACGAATTCATAGGGCGGAGATTCATTTGGAGGTTTCTGTGAAAACCCTACTGAGCGTTTAATTTTTTTGTATGTTTATTCCACAGGTCTGGCCACGCTACGGTTTGCACAGCAGAGAGCCGTCCCCCATAGCTGATCTGTACGCCACATTTGTTTTGCCGCTCTGTCCTTGCCAAATCTCCAATGGTTTGTGTGGCCCCCGGGTGTCCGAGAATGCTCTGCTGAAACTCTTACTTTCCGCGCATTCGTTGAAATAAAGTGGGGCAAAAATTCACGGTGGTTTAGTCTCGGTTAGCACGGTTGGCTAGGTACGTTGCGAAAGAAGTTCAACGTAAATGCATACAAAATATAGGTCCGCTTCAGGCCCTTTTGCAGTCTCGTCCTAGCGATTTTGCAGGAATTTGTAACGTTCCATGGAATGGTATACCAAAACAATCTGTCACATCAGCACAAATAATGTATACCTTCACTCACAGAAAGGGATATATTTGATGAGCTCAAATGTCAAAGGTTTACATTTTTATCAAATTAGAACATGAGGTAATATTTCAGTCAAGGTGTGCTTAAAGCATGTGCTTTGGCAATCTAGAGCCAGTACTGGAACTTGCATATTCCTGTGGTATTCATGGAACAATAAAGTACAGTATTTAACATTATTCCATCTCTGACATCAGCTAAACTGGAGTAAATGTAACCATAAGTAGGAAGTTAGACCTTATAAACCACACACCTCGTCCTCGAACACAGAGAGCAAAACAGATTTTCTCAAGTGGTGTTCTGCCTTTTAAACAAAGTATGTTCTCATTATCGGTTGCTAGTTCTCAACAGTTTATTTGGTGATAACTTTTTTGAGACCAGAATAGTCTTATTTTCAAGAGTGATCTGGGCTTGATGTGAGTTCCAATAGGTGATGGAAGTCTGATGTTGTGTCTGATGTTCTGATCATAGGCGGATTTTGACTTCTATATTTGGGGGGGGGGGGGGGGGTTTGGGGGGGTTCGCTTTGTCCCTGACATTAGGAATCGCGGGTGTATATAAATATTTTTTTGTTTAATCGTAATTGTAAACTATTGAAAATAAAATAATAAAGGTGTCCAGTTTGGGAGTATGGGGAGCCGTCCCACCCATGGTTGTGATAATGAGATACCGCCTGAGATTTTCAACATTAAAACTGCAATATTTCTGGGACATTTAGATGCAGGTTTAACTGAAAATACCTTTACTTTTTACAATATACAGTCTATCACGTGCTATGTACACAATGATGCTCTTACTACAACGGGATCACTCAAGTAAAGCAGGAAAATTAACAAGGAAAGCAATTTAATTTCAACAGAAACCTAAGTTACCCTGTTTACATTATTAGTATATTCTTTGGTTCTTTCGGTAAAGTCACGTAGGTGAAAAAATAATAAAATAAATCACGACGTTGCGTCGTGATCAAAAAAATTATTTTTTCACCTACGTGACTTTACCGAAAGAAGCAAAGAATACGGATCCTTGCAGTCACGAAAACTTCAAATCTACTTTATTAGTATTTTGTAATGGCCTTTTAAAAAGTCACGGCTGTCGCTTTGCGTACGTGGAGGACGTGCCCTTGGCATGCTTGCAGCAACAAAAAGTAAAAAATCGAAATAAACAATGACAGTGGCGATGTTTGACACACTCTTTGTCGGTGACCTCCCGAGCCAGCGAACCTTCAACCCCCAGCCCCAACTAACTCCATCCAATCCCAACCTCCATCCCGTGGCGCCGCTTAACCCAGCATCTGTGCCATTTCCTCCACCTCCTTGTTCATTTTTTGATTGGAATACCACTTTTGGAGCTTGCAACACTAACGTTGATGGTGGTTAAGGGCTTTGCAATTCATATCTCTCTCGGTTGTGTGAACGTGAGTAAGCATCTGTGTGGTGTGTGTACGTATGCACGTCGTGTTTTTTTGGTGTAAAACATTTCTGATACAAAAAACGAATTTAGTTCATATTAAATTCCCACCGAAATGTTGACGCCATTTATATTTCTGGTCCTTTACAAACATATGTAAGACAGGTAAGTTTGCATTGTTGTTGTTATAATTAGCAGTGGTTATTTGGGACGGATATGAGGTAGTTCTGGCCAGTTCAATGTATACTTTCATATGCTAAACATCCCGTGGCAGTAGACAGAACACAGTCTTAAACCCTTCTGGAAGAGTTTCATATTGAGTTGAATGATTGCGTATGTAGTGGATTAACGCGCGCATACAGGGAGCATTGTAAAGTCGCGCGAGTGGGGGTCGTGTAGGGCCGGACAGGTGCGGCGTGGGGATAAGGGCACGAGGGAGATAGCTCGTTAAGTTGTTATGGGATGCATGGCAGTTGTTGTTGTTGTCAGAGGCAAGGTGGCGCCACATTGTCGGGAGATGTGGGACTGATAACGGAAGGGGCCAGGGACACGAGGCGTCAATTGGGGACGCCGCTTAATCAATTGATAGTTAAAGAGGACTGGGATATATTCGGAGCAGGCCAGAAGAAGACAAGAGAGAGAAGACATGAGAGATAGAACAGGCTAGCAGTGGAACAGGGAAAAAGAAGAGAGGGAGACAAGGAGAGACAGAGGCAGAGACAGAGTGAGACAGCGACGGAGAGGGGAGAGACAGCCAGAGACAGCCGAAGCCACGGGTGTTGAATGTGAAGAGTTTTGTAATAAAAGTGGCGTCGGAGAAAGGAAGAAGTCGTCCGTGTGAAGTCGACCACTACATATACACAAATGGAATACGTAATTATACCAACGTTTATAACACAACACAGTCTCTGTTGGTAATGTCACCACATTTTTTTTGTCTGGCGTGCTTTCTTAAAGCGGACATCTGAATGAGAAGACCACATTACATGATACGGATAAAGGTGTAGCCCTGCAATGTGTTTTGCTCATTGCACTGCTGGCAGAAGTGTCCCCCAACTCGAGAGAGCTCGAGTGAGCTTCTCCAGAGGGTATCGTATTTGGCTGACTCTTACATGATGGCCAGACATTTTGGAAAACGTGGGAGCATCCACAATTTACCCGACCACATGCGGACTGCCGATCAACGGCCTCGTAACCGTTTGCAGAGGCGGGGGAATTTAAGAAACGTGTGTCCATTGTTTGACCAACCACGCCGGAAGATCGAAACCGGTAACCTCTGGTTTGCAAGTGCAGCGTGCTCACCACGCTGGAAGCATTCCAGTTTTTACCAAACGATGAATGTTTTCTCCCATACTTTGGTGCACAACAAGTTCTCATGCGAATCTGGACGCTGCTCGAGAGCCACACCTCACGGACGCAGCTTTTATATAATACCCAGACCTTCTAGAGATTATCCACTTTCACCGCTTAAAAAAAGGGACACCACGCGGTATTTCCACACGTGCACAGACGAGCAAATGGGAAACAAATGGAAAACATGCGCTTGGTGTTACGTGGCTGTGGGCGCACGGCGCCCCTGCACGTTGCGCGCTCTCACCGGGCTGGGCAGCGAGTGGACATCCTCTGTTGCGGAGAAGCTCCTCCACGGCCATGCCAAAGATGAAGTGCATGTTCTGAAGCGAGCCCTGAACACACAGAGGCACGGAAAGGTGTCACTTGCAAACTCGCGGCCAGGGCTTCAGTTCACAAACGAACTCCCCTTTATGTACACATTTACTTAATATACAAGGGTTGATGGATTACACAAAATGTTGAGAAGTTCCCTTCCCATAGGCGTCGATGTACCAAACCTTGGCTTTCCAGGAGAAAGCGCTACATCAAATGTAAAATCTTGATGTGAAGCTTTCGTGACTGCAGGAATCCATACCCTATGGTTCTTTCGGGAAAGTTCCACTGCTGGATTATTATTTTTTTTTCCGCCAGGGGACGACTGCTTGTGTTGCGATCGAAACGTCGTGATATATTATTTTTTGGTTTTATTTTATTTTTCTACCTACGTGACTTTACCGAAAGAACCAAAGAGTATCAAATGTAAACACCACCTGTTCCATCTGTATGGGATCGAGTGTTGCCCCCTCACACACGTGGATGGCCTCCAGGTGCTGTGGTTTCCTCCCACATGTAAACACGAATTAATTGGCCGATAACATCTTAATATGTAGAGAACTGCGAGAGCTTGGGGGGAATTTGGTGCCGGCTCACCCCCCTGGCTACTGCTGCCACCTTACCGCTTGTTTGTGGCTCCTCAAGCCTCTGATTCGTCCTCTATCTCTCTACTCCATCAATGTACACGGTGCATTAGAAGGTGAAATTATAATGATAATTGTGATAATTATTTCTTCTCACTCGATATTTTCCCTGTACGCTACTATGCTGGCTTGAAAAATAGATTACTGGCAACAAGGCATTGCCACGAGAGTAACAAGGTGCATCTATCGCTAATCATCCTATATTACTGTATCCAATACCCATGTAATCGTAAACAGATGTTTATAAACATTAGATGCATGGACATCGAATTTGGATGGAGTGTGCCAGAAATAATTCTCAGAACAACGCTCTTGACTATCCCAGCTGAAATTAATCAAAACCAGAATCTTTATTTATCCTGGAAAAAAAAACGATCACGTGTGACGCTCTTTTTCACAGATGTCTAGTGATCACTGCTTGCACACACGCAACACATTTCACTTTAGTCTGCACTAAAAACGTGAGGATGTATTACTGTTATAAAAGGAAACAATTTGTCATGGGTTTGTTTAAAACGACTTCCCTGCTGAATGAAAGCCTCCAAATGCCGTGGAGTGGTGGCTCGAACCTAACTCTGATTACACTATGAACCCTGCGAGTGATTTCTGAACTGGTCCTGAATACCCCCCTTCACTCCCCTCCCTGACTAACGTGGTGAAGTATGGCCATAAAAACCCCATGACATGCAGTTGTGCCAATACCTTCGTCCAGCAGTGGAATGACATACGAACACATCGCAGTTATTTATCAAGCGCACAGTCTTGCAAATGAGTACTGTATAGTATTCCTTCGCTTTATAAGAAAACGCCGACGTGATTGTGTGAAAGCATCACAAAGTCCAGTATTTCGCCACGCATCACTCGTAACTAAAGGGCCACCAAGTGGCACTTCCAAGCTAATCGGCATCACAGCAGGGAGTTCATCAGACCTCAAAGGGAGGCGTTGGTTGTGTGGCTCACCTTGAAGTCGTCATCCTTGACCATGCCCTTGGCGATGTAGAGACGGCTCTGCGGGCCGGACAGCTGCTCGTAGAAGGGGCCCTCCAGGATGATGTTCTCGACGAGGTCGCAGCCGATGAAGAGCCTGGCGTGCTCGCCGCTCACGTGCAGGGTCAGGTTCTGCCAGTCGCCGTTGGCCAGGTCCACGTCCTCAAACGAGACGACGCTCTGCATGCCCTCCACGGAGTAGGCGAGGTCCAGGGTGTTGGCGATCCCGTTGGAGACGATCTGAAAGCGGCGCGCCGACGAGGCCCCGTCCTGCGGCTGGACGCTCACGAGGGCGCCGCGGGTGCGCGCATCCTGCTGGATGGAGGCGACGAACACGAAGCCCTCCTCGTCCCGCATGAGCCCCAGCAGGCGCTGCAGCTGCTGGTCCGAGGCGGCGGGGATGCGCTCGGGGCGCACCACGCGGTACGCGGAGCTGTCCGGGTCGGGGCCCCGCACCAGCCGCACCCCGCTGTTCCTGCGGTTGAGCTTGCTGATCTCGAACAGGTCAAAGACGGGGTTCTCCTCCGTGCCCAGGTCTGTATCGTCGGCACCGTGATCACCATCATTAGTCAACTTCATCAACGACATCATGAGCAGCGGCATTGCTATCATCGCCATCGTCTACCCTAGCCACGCTTGCAAACGATACGTTCCATTTGAAGGGATGATTATTATCCGGGTGAAAAATACTTTCATACGTTAAACCAAGCAATGAGGTCACAATAATCGACAAACGATAAATCGTTCCGCATAAAAACAGGTGGGGGAAAAAACACTATTCCCTGCATTCTATCCACATATAAACACGAAAGTTTGATCCGTAATATATTGGTCGCGAAAACCTACGTGTTAAATTGACTAAAGTTTGAGTTCGTCAGCCGATCTGTAGAGTTAGTGGCTTTCCAGAGATTTGCGCAGCGCACTTTGTTCGAATTGCAACGTGGAAACAATTTTTGTGGAATGTGAACCAAGTAACGGAATCGTCCCGTGTCCGTTCAAGATATCGTTTAGAGCGCGCGACTGCCACTCACCTGAACCGTGCATCACGGGGATAAATACTACGAAAAGGCTCAGGAATGTCCATCTCTTCTGCCGCATGGCGTCCCCCTGGAGATTCTCGGTCTATTCCCGTAAGGAACACGGAATGGAAAAAAAGACGAAACACATTATTTGGTGACGCGTCGGCAGTGGTATGCAAGCACAACTAACAACAACAAAAAACAACATACAAACTCAACACTGTTGCTCTTAAATGACGATATGTGACGTTTCGGGTAATGGCCCTTCTTCACAGCACATTAACAGGTAGAATGAACAAGAGTTAAAGACAACACCATCATCATAGCGTCAAAAGTATGCTCAAATTACCCCTCTCACGACTCAAACGCAGCTCAAATATACAGCGGTCAGCTTGTACTGCAAATATTCAAACCGTGCTCAATGCAATCCGCGCTCGAGAACGAGCGCGCTCTTCATTCCGATATCAAGCAACCACTGGAGCTATGCACTTTTAAATCATCATCATCATCATCTCGATTGAAAACTCACGCGTTTGGAACTGTATTTGGTGTATTTAGTCCCTTGCCCTTCCCACGCACCTCCGATTATCACGGTTGGCTACGAACGGTGCGAAAGAAGCCCCGACATACCCTCGTGCGTGCAATGGCTATGCTACTACGTACGGCGGACGAGATGAGCTTTTGCAAAAATCAAAAGTCCCGTCCGTACCTCGCGGCAGTGCCGACGCTGCAACGCGCGTTTCTGGAGACGAGACCCACGCGCGAAGCTCGTTCCTCGTGAAGCGCCCCCCCCTCCTCCCCCCCCCAAAAAAAAAAAACCACCCCCTCTGAGCCGCTTCAAACTACGCGGAGTTTCAAGTCGACGTCGAACCTCGCAATTCTCAACTTGCGAGTGCCGGGTGGAGCTCGGGCGCACGTGCGCGCGTGTGCGAGCAGCCGATGCCCCCGCGAGTGAGCGAGCGAGCGAGCGAGCTGCAGATGATTCCTCTCGCCGGAGCCTCCTCCCCTCTCCGCCTTTTATAGACGCGCCTCGCCCCGGCGGATTCCACGCAAACGCCGAGGGAAGAAGACCCCCAACCCCCCCCCCCCCTACCGCTGCCGTCACTCTCCACCCCCCCCCCCCCACCGCGTGTTGTTCCACCGCGTGGAATCCGGGGCGCGTCATAACACAGCCAGGCAGCAGCAGGGATGTCTGTCTGGGGGGCAAAGGGGGGGGGGGGCAGGTCGTGGGGACTTCTCAACTGGTTGGTGTGGGGTGGGGATGCCTTCGGCAGGGCGCTCACTGTGAGTGGGGTTCACATTGACGACGGTCGCTTCGTGTGGGGGTGCTTACTGTGGGGGGTCACGGGGTCACTGGGAGGGTCATTGTGTGGGGCTGGGGGGTGCTTACTGTGGGGGGGGGGGGGTGGACAGGGTCACTGGGAGGGTCATTGTGTGGGGCTGGGGGGGTGCTTACTGTGGGGGGTGACGGGGTCACTGGGAGGGTCATTGTGTGGGGCTGGGGGGTGCTTACTGTGGGGGGGGGGGGGTCACGGGGTCACTGGGAGGGTCATTGTGTGGGGCTGGGGGGTGCTTACTGTGGGGGGGGGGGGGTGACAGGGTCACTGGGAGGGTCATTGTGTGGGGCTGGGGGGTGCTTACTGTGGGGGGGTCACGGGGTCACTGGGAGGGTCATTGTGTGGGGCTGGGGGGGGTGCTTACTGTGGGGGGTCACGGGGTCACTGGGAGGGTCATTGTGTGGGGCTGGGGGGGTGCTTACTGTGGGGGGTCACGGGGTCACTGGGAGGGTCATTGTGTGGGGCTGGGGGGGTGCTTACTGTGTGGGGGGGTGACGGGGTCACTGGGAGGGTCATTGTGTGGGGCTGGGGGGTGCTTACTGTGGGGGGTCACGGGGTCACTGGGAGGGTCATTGTGTGGGGCTGGGGGGGTGCTTACTGTGTGGGGGGGTGACGGGGTCACTGGGAGGGTCATTGTGTGGGGCTGGGGGGGTGCTTACTGTGGGGGGTCGGTGAGGCCACTCTGGGTCATCATCATCACTATCCATGGGCAGATAGCCGAAAGGTGTCCACTGCACATTTCGTGATGTATTTCCACTTGCCTCTGTCTTGTGCCAACATGCTCAAGTAGTGCAAATATTTCTGGCACCAATCTCTTGAGTGTGTGTCGGGGGGGGGGGGTGACAATTTGCGGACGGGTAATGACTGTGGAGTGGTGGGGGGGGTCACTTTGGGGGCCACGGTGGCTATAAAATGTTAACTATCTCGCCTGGTGTGCAGGAGGTTGCGGGTTCAATACCCACCCTGACGCCTGTATATTTGGAGTTTGCGCGTCTCTCTCTCATCATCACCACGATGGCTAGGAGATGTTAACTACCTCGCCTGGTATACAGGGGTCATGGGTTCGATCCAGACCCTGACGCCTGTATATTTGTAGTTTGTATGTTCTCTTCGTGATCGCGCGGATTTTTCTCCGGTTCCCCCCCCCCCACCGACAGTTGAGCTATCACTTGTGGCCAGGTCACTTCTGACCTGGCCACAAGTAAAATAAATAACAGTTTATAATAGTCGTTATAGTTTACTGCATGTGTGTTGGGGGGCTCACTCTGTGGGTGGACTCTGTCTGGGGGGGCTCACTCTGGGGGTGGACTGTGTGTGTGTGAGGTGGGGGGGCTCACTCTGGTGGTGGACTGTGTGTGTGTGTTGGGGGGCTCACTGTGGGGGTGGACTGTGTGTGTGTGTTGGGGGGGCTCACTCTGTGGGTGGACTGTGTGTGTGCGAGTTGGGGGGCTCACTCTGTGGGTGGACTGTGTGTGTATTGGGGGGCTCAGTCTGGGGGTGGACTCTGTGTGTGTGAGTTGGGGGGCTCACTCTGGGGGTGGACACTGTGTGTGTGAGTTGGGGGGCTCAGTCTGGGGGTGGACTGTGTGTGTGGTGGGGGGCTCACTGTGGGGGTGGACTCTGTGTGTGTGAGTTGGGGGGCTCACTCTGGGGGTGGACTCTATGTGTGTGTGTTGGGGGGCTCACTCTGTGGGTGGACTCTGTCTGGGGGGGGTCAGTCTGCGATGAGTGGAGTCCCAGGTGCCCCAGTAGCACGAGCATGGTGAACCTACCGTGCAGTCCGGACCTGCCGTGCTCCTCTGTGTGCCAGTGAGGGCATGCGGTCAGCCTGGATAATTCATATTTCATTACCCCCTTAATCGGTGCCCTGCACGATTAACTCTGGGGAGTGGCAGACTACCACCGTGCGAGTTAAGCCCAAACGCATTTGTGTTGCGTTTGGAAAGTGCCGAGGCTGCCGAAATTCTACCGTAGGTTGGGCGCCCCCTATCAGGACGAACCGCGCCAGCAGCCGCCGCCGCCCGCAGCTACTCCCAGCTGTCATTAAAGTCCTCATCACAACGCACCCCCAACATCAACACGACGAAATGGTGAAACGAAGCACAGCGTTAACTGTTAGGAATGCGTGAACGGGAATACGTTGCAGAATAGGTTCTCGGCGAATCGTGGCACCGGACCGCCATCTCAAGAGAAACGTTTACCTTGGTACACTACACGACACACTGTTCTTTATTTTATATATATATAAAGTATGGGATAGCGCCATGGTGTTTCTTTGTTAGCACACTGGACTTGTAATCCAGAGGTAGCCGGTTTTTATCTCCAGGCGCGGCAGTTGATCCAATGGGGGTAGGTTTCCTAAATCATCCTGTCTCTGTCCACCCAGCAGTATCAATGGGTAGACCACAGCACGTCTAGATATCTGCCTGGCCTTTGAAACCCACACAAGGAGTAGCGCGGTTGGCTACGCACGGTGCTAAAGAAGTCCACCGCACGTACACGCACGTACGGTGATTTGTGAACCACCCTAACGGCGTATATTGTGGGTCACCCACAAGGGTGAACATTTCCACAGGTTTTTGTTTATAACTGCGAAAGGTGCAGATGGAGTCGTAATGAGCCAGATCCTCTGAAGAAGTGAGGCTGGATTATTTCCAAACATTCTAAACTGGCCGCCCGTTGCAGGCAGGTGGAAGCCACAACAAGACAATTAAATCGTTTTGGACAATATCCCTGCATTTATTTCCACCTCAATTAAACGAAGCATTTTAAAGATCGTGTGAGTGTTCTGGATGTGCTGCAAGTTGTAACAACGTGTACACTTTGAGATTTTGAACATTTTGTAGTGTGCATAACTTTCATTTTATCAATGTGTCATTTCGCCGACCATTTCATATGTTAATAAATGAAAAAGCAAATAATTGTACAAAAATACTTATCACATAGCTAACAGATAAAACAAGCATCGGTTTATGGGAAATAGCAGGAAGTAGATGATTTGAAGTAGCATTCGGAACCGTTCTGTCCCAGTTCTGACCTTGTACTCGCAATAGTTTTGTTTTGACTAACACTGCTGCTTGGCACTCCAATCGAACCTTCATCCTTCTTTGGCTGGACAGCACAATCCCTCCTTCTGGCCTGGCCTCTATGATAAAGCTCCCCCTCTTCCATCTTGGCACTATCAAGTCCAACTAGCTTTACGGTGGTGTGTGTGTGTGTCCAAATAACGGAAACATGGGTTTATAACACTGCCTGAGAGATGACAACATATTTATATTCCGGGAAATTTCAGGCTCTGGCTGTTATTTATTTGCCGTTGTCTGAAATGTCACCTACCACATGGTTCCTCTTGAGGGCAGTGTTCTTGACGAAAGTGTTCCGTTTTTGTTATTTGTGTTAGTCAATGCAGCATAACTTTAACATCGAAATACATTTGTGATTGCAAATTCCCTTTAAACTGTAAAGTGCCGACGTTACTAGATGCACACGGGAATCAGATGTTACCTACTGGGTATTTTATAGTTCAGCTGAGACATCGACAAGACCCCCTACATGGTAAAGTGCGGTCAAACACTCCCCGTGATTGACAACAGTGTCGGTAGGCATTTAAGCAGTGGTGAATTGAATAAAGGGCTGCAAGATATGTGTCCGTATTTATTTGGTATGTTAAAAAGTGCTGCCATTCACCGTGCAATATTCAATTGTCCATGCAAGATCTAGCTTGGTGGTGCTTGTGATTTGAGCACGGGTCTCACAATTTGAAGCTCGTGAGCTTACATCCTGGTTGGGGGTTGACGCAGCCTGAGGTCATTGAGTTCACTTGGTGGGAATTCGACAGTGGCTGCCCTGTAGAACGACTGAGCTTCACCATAGGAAGGAGGCATTTCCACTGCTGGTTCTAATAACACGACGCTGATAGTACAATGGAATACAATTGAGGGGGAATAACGAGTATGAATTCGTTAACTAAATTAGCGGTATAGCCATTTATACAGAAATGAACTTGTAGACCTATCTGCATAGAGGTTTGAATAGTCTTATATATATGTGTGTGAGTATCCTTTTGCAAACCGGTTTTGTTAATACAAAAACACTATGAAGAATTTGCCGAATCTAGATGAAGCGAGGATGAGTACGCCAATAACACCAGGTTATGATGGCAAACTTTAGGTCCAGCTACATTTAATTATGCGAATCATCTTGGGAAACTCTACGACTAACCCCTCTACTACGGCTTCTAGTTCTGAGCAACATTGCTGCCCCCAACATCCGATGGGAAGTCGCAACTAGCGAGCTACTGGAGAACATCAACGCCAACCAATGCCTGCCACGACCCGAAGATCTCCAAAAAGAAGTTCAACATACGTACATCACAACATCCTCTGCTATCCACACAGCCGCCAAGACTGCTTGGCAGCAACTTTCTCGCAGTAGGAATAGAGGGCAAAATCAGCACTAAACCATTCCCTTTTCGCAGACCCTG